AGAGGCCTCCTTCGTGTGACTACATGTTGTAAGAGGGAGGAATCTAGAGTGAACGTGTAGAGTAGGGTGGATGAAGGGAAAGAGGCCTCCTTCGTGTGACTACATGTTGTAAGAGAGAGGAATCCGGAGTGAACGTATAGATAAGAGTGAATGAAGGGAAAGAGGCCTCTTTCGTGTGACTACATGTTGTAAGAGGGAGGAATCTGGAGTGAACGTGTAGTTAGGAGTGAATGGAGGGAAAGAGGTCACCTTCGTGTGACTACATGTTGTAAGAGGGAGGAATCTGGAGTGAACGTGTAGATAGGAGTGAATGGAGGGAAAGAGGTCACCTTCGTGTGACTACATGTTGTAAGAGAGAGAAATCTGGAGTGAACGTGTAGAGGAGGGTGGATGAAGGGAAAGAGGCTACCTTAGTGTGACTACATGTTGTAAGAGGGAGGAATCTGGAGTGAACGTATAGATAGGAGTGAATGAAGGGAAAGAGGCCTCCTTCATGTGACTACATGTTGTAAGAGGGAGGAATCTGTAGTGAACGTGTAGATAGGAGTGAATGGAGGGAAAGAGGCCTCCTTAGTGTGACTACATGTTGTAAGAGGGAGGAATCAAGAGTGAGCGTGTAGAGGAGGGTGGATGGGGCTCGTTTGTTTATCTATTTATATATTTTTGCATTACAGTATGTTGCAAACTCGCAAATTATAACGTCGCAAATTATACAAAAACGGTTGTTTTTCTTTTTTTGTTTTTGTACAAAATCAGTTTTAAAGTTCAAACCTCAACACAATTAAGATGAATAAAAAAGTCAACAAGCAAATAAGTAACCTCGGCGGCACTATCTGATTATCAAAAGGGAAAACGTAAAAAAAATATTCCTACTAAGAAAATCCGGCTCGTAATTAATGTCAAAATTGAATACTCGTGTCCTTCTGTTTACAAACACGTACTGACAAGTGCGCTTGGTAGTATATTTTTTTTACACAATATGTCCACGTAACACTTCACTCACGTAACTCGGTGTAATTATTTTCCAGTTGTAAATGCATTTAATTACCTGATCAGCGTATGGAGTAACAGTAAAGGGCGTAAAATTAGCTCTCATTCTCACTAATATTGATATATATATATTTCATTGTATTAAATGACTCGCGTCATCTCCCCCTTTTTGTGTTATTTGGAACGTTAAATGTATCACTTATGTCTTAAACAATCTGTTCATAGCTGTCTATGCCAGTCCACAACACCTAGTTTCTTACAAGTGTTTATTAATATGCTAGTGTATTTAGGCATTTCCTTCATATCTATTACACTCATGTGTGCTCGTAAGAATCAAAGCATATCACTTATCACCATTGACCAATCAGAATTCGTTATTGTAAAGAACAGGACAAATTGTTTCAACAAACCCATGCGTAGGGAGAAATACGCTAGGTCAGGATTCATAAAAAATACAAAAATAATAAAACCTTAAATTTTCAGGCGTCCAAAATATTGTTATATGATACATATATAGATACTGAATTCATTTATACCAGGCAAAAATATGCTCGATGTCATAAATTTACGTAAAAAATGCAAGATGAGTTGGAAAATTGACCTCGATATCTAAATTCTCCCAACGATGCACGAGCGTCCGTAGTTCATTGGTAGCCATATTTTCAATGGCGGACGGCTAGTCGAACCGAGGAGATCTGGTGGCTTGTGATTTTACATTTTTCTTGGCATTTAGAGTCCCAGACAAAGGAAATTGTGTATGTTACACTTTAATAGATTCTTTAAACTATTGGATTGAAATATTTTGAAGGAAATCTAACGGTGAGTTTACCGATATTTGCTGTTCGTTTGCATGGTTCAAATTTTGAAATCATTGTTGACAGTCCGACATGACGATGCGAAACATTTTTTTGTGTTAGGATGTTTCTGAGTAATTATCATAAGTTCTTTATATGATATATATGCCTAAGAAGTACTAAACATACTATTATCATCTTTTCCGCTGCGAAAGTATCCTCCATATGTCTAAATTTGAGTGTAATATTCGTCAACACCGAGTTGCCGCCATTATTATCATGGCTGCTATTCCGATGTACCCTTAGTCGCCATTTTACGTTTTCTTCTTGGTTCGGGCCAGGCGTTGCCTTGCGGATTGTGCAAATCTAATTATTTACAAACCCGCCGTTTTGAAAATTTACGAATTATTGCTATAACCTAGTAAATATAGTTGTTAACGGGTTTTACGGGGTGCCAGTTTCGGGCGTGGGGTTTTGCAAGAAAGTCGTTTTATGGGTGATATATTATGAGGAAAAATGCTTGCCGGGCTAAAACCTCTTTGTCTGAAGTGATGGGTTATGACGCAAATAATAATGCGTTTCAGTTAAAACTTCCTTTTTTGTAATTTTGCAATGCGTAGCTTATATCATTTACATTTTTACATCGACGTGGGTAATTATTTGAAATTGTCCAGTACGACGTAATTCGTATGAGGATTAAATAAAAAGGAAAATCCTTTTTTTATATTTCACTCGTTGCAGATTTTTAAATACAGTTACTCACGATTTTATTGTTAAGATTTTAAACTACAAAAACATAAAAATATTGACATATTACTATTCATATAAGTATTGTCAGTATTAATTTATTTGGTACTGTTGTTTCACGTTTTAATTAACATTAGAAAAAGATTCATGATGTTAGAAATGTTACATTTTAAAACGATTGTGTATTTTATGCAGATTGAATTCATGTTGTTTTAAAGTTAAACTTAAATGATTCATAAAAAAACCAGCTGAAGAGAAAATATTGTAAATGTGTTTTAAAGCAATAAGTCTCATCTTTAAGCTGACATATTTACAGATGTATAATACTGTATTTTGATTTTTGTAGCCTAACATAGAATAAGTGTTTATTTTAATTTCAATGTTATCTTAAGAAAATTTAATTAAGTTCATGGTCCTATAAATAAATATATCATGTAAACATGCTTTGAATTTGATAATGCTAATCCACTTTTCCTAGTTCCTTTGTGTATGTATATCAATTGCTTTATTTTTCAGATCCAAAATGAAGTTTTTAAGTATCTTTAAGATGCGTCCAAAGCGTTGGCAAGTGATTTGGACCTGTTGACAGAACACAATTCATGGCTGTTGGAGGATAATTGTTAAACAATTTGTCACTAAAAGTGAGATGTAACACAGAAACTATGTGAATATCAACATTTTTAGCTCCTGCTCATACCCATTTTTGGAATAGAAATGGTGAAAGAGGGAGAGAGGGAAGGTCTTGCTAATCCAACATATTTGAAATGGATTTTAGAGGCCATCGGGAAAGTGAAATGTCAGAAACAAAGACCCAGTTTGGATCGAATCTGTCATGCGATTAAACAATATCACAAAGTCACTAAAGAGTCAATCGAAGAACAGCTAAATCTGGCTATCAAGGATGGCACTGTATTACAAGTATACAACAAAGGTTTGGTCTCGTACAAAGATGCTGATGCAAATGCACACCTCAAACCTAGAGTTTTACATGTTGATAAGTCAACAGATTTGTGCAAAATCATTGTCAGGTCAATTCGTGCGATGGGCGAGACAGAAGGGTCATCATTGTCAAAGATCGAAAAGAACATTCAAAACAGTTACAATGTGGAACTGCATGATGGGATTGAATTGATGCACCAACTGAAGGATTCGGTGAAAAAAGGAGAAACATCAGGATTGTTGTTGAAAGATGGACGTATCATTAAGCTGGGGGAGAAAAGTCTGGAGTCGGACTCCGCAGGAAGCAGTAGTCACTCTGGATCTTTTGACGAAGACTCTGGGAGTGACCTGTCATTTTCCTTTGAGCAGAGTTTGGTAACTATCAATAGGAGTCCAACAATCAAATAACTGAAAAGTTGGGTGGGGTTCGTTGTAATTTGTATTATTGAGCGAGAGCTTGCATGGATTTTTTTGGGAAAAAATGAATCAAGTCCCATCTATAGATTACCAGTTCATATCATAAACCGCTAACTAGCCCAAGGCATTGATTGGGTGAGTGAAATTATACACACAATCATTGTCAAAAGATTTTGATACTAAATTTAAAATATTGTTTAAGGACTATGTATGGTTTGGGCCTTTTTTGGCCCCAAAATCCATCAAAATTAAAAATCTGCAAAAGAACTTTCATCCGAATGTTTCTTTAATTTTGAATACTTCCCTGGCAGTACTATTATGTTCCATTATGTTATATTACTACCATAGAGCGCACTCTTGAACAAACTTCATATTTCTCCTAAAGATGTATTTCAGGTGCCTACACATTATCATTTGATGTTAAGTTTGTTCAAGCTTGCGCTCTATAGTTTCTAGGAGAAAAACTATGCAAACTATCACAATATTCACTGAATATTCAAATTTTTCTAATTTATGCAAATTTGAACTTGTTACCATGGTAACAATATTTAGAAATATAAATAAATATTTTCATAATAGTATTTGGGAAGTATTCGAAATTAAAGAAACAGTCATTTCAAAGTTCATTTAAAGGTTTTGAATTTTGATGCATTTGGGGGCCAAAATAGGCCCAAACCATACATAGTCCTCCTGTGTATAGTTATACCAAGGGATTAAAACACTGAAGTGGTAATGATAACTATTTTTTGAATTGAATTATACATTTATTGCAATAAGAAGCAATTAGGTAGTTAGACATATTGGGGGTAATTTTCTCACAGACATTTTTAAGTATTTATGCAGCTGACAACAGTACATTGTATTATTCAGTAGCTCATCCATTTTCAGTGCCATGAAGTCCATACCAGTTGTGCTAATTATTTTAGTATTGTTATTAGAAACAGTTTGTGGTTGCAATGAAGAGTTCCTAATTATTTGTGAAATACTTAAAGCTTGAAATCCAGTATCTGGAGGCCGGGGTAATTTCAAATTGTACTATAGTAGAAGATTGCCCGACTTTCTCAGTAATTTTTGGGACTGTGATAAATGATTCCAGGACTTGGGCTTTTACTATGTGACTCCCCAACTTTCTCAGTAATTTTTGGGACTGTGATAAATGAGTCCAGGACTTGGGCTTTTCCTATGTGACTCCCCAACTTTCTCGGTAATTTTTGGGACTGTGATAAATGAGTCCAGGACTTGGGCTTTTCCTATGTGACTCCCCAACTTTGTCGGTAATTTTTGGGACTGTGATAAATGAGTCCAGGACTTGTGGTTTTCCGATGTGACTCCCCAACTTTCTCAGTAATTTTTGGGACTGTGATAAATGAGTCCAGGACTTGTGGTTTTCCTATGTGACTCCCAAACATGTGTAGAACCTTAGAACCCAGTATTTAGGCAGTAAGCACTATATCTCGTAGCTATGCCAACATTTTCAAGATGTTCAGGACTCCTGAAAAGATCTATAGAAATTACAGCTTTCTTTTCTAGATGCATAAAAGGATGATAATAAGATTACATTTTTCATACAGGTAGTATCTTCATGTATAGTCAGTGAATTTTTGTAGTTGCTTTGAGCTAAATATTGGTGGTTTTCCAAAGTAAAAAAGTAGGTATAATTCCCGAAATTGACTGAAAAATCCCAGGTTGAACTCAACTTAGGTATGCCTGTCTCTAAAACTGACACTCTTAAAAACTTCTATCCTATATCTACTAATATGTCGCGTGGTATCATTGGAACACTATGATCGATGGTATTTCACTTTTGTGTTAAAGCGTTTGTAAACATAATGTAGGTCTAGTTCAAGGTCATTGTAAATGCGACAAAAAATGTCACACCAAAGTTAATTTCTACAAGCACTTCAATACTTATTGGGTTTTGAAGTCACCATATCACAGGTTATTGATGTGAGTAGCTGTGAATTTTGATGTACACATGCAGTCGTTTTTTTTGGTCTAATGTCCAATTTCAAAACCAAATTTTGCAACCAGTTTGGCTACTGAATGTGAAGAAATTTTCAAGGGTAAAATATGAAACATCTTATCCCTTGGTTTTACTTCCCTTTGAAGAAGAGTGAAGGCCTGGTTGGTGGTGACAGGTACAGTGTGTGTTTGCAAATTATATATATAAAAAACATTTTGGGTACACACCTTATCAAACAGAGTCAAGGTACAAAAGTCTTGTTTTTGGAACAAATTGGGAGGAAAATTGACGGCTTTTACCAATAATAGAAAGGGACACTATATACTTTCAGCTGAAATAATACTCCAGACAGCTTGTAGACAATGAATTAAAATTCAGGGCAGCAAGTAGAAAGGTTTGCATTGATCAACCATACTTTAAATGATGATCTGTTTTCCAGTTTTTCAACTCTTTCATTGATCTGCATCAAATTTTCTGATGTGTATTGGACCATTTCAATTTTGGATGTATTACATTGTACCTCGTTTCCTGTATGTGTCCTTTTGAATTCCTTACCCCTGTGTTGGATGCTCTCAGAGGTTTGTTTGTAAGTGGACATTTTGGTCCTTGCTTTACCTCTGACATGGATTGGATGCAAAAATACATTGGGTGTTGATTAGTCTTTATAGTTGACATTTGTAGATTGAAATCGGTGGACAATGTTGAAAGGAGTCTGTAGAAGGAGGCTGATTAACACTGTATGTGGCCCAAGTTTTGGGATTTAAAGGCCAATATCAGTGACCTTGGCTGGTGTTGGGAGGATATGTAGAGATATTTAAAAGATTTACTGGTCTGGTATACCGAAATTGAAAATGCACAGACTAATACAGGCTGGGAGCGTGTGGCTGTCAGTGGGAAAAGTGAAGGTTAAGAAATGGTGAAACAAATATAAGGTTACAAATATGTACTTAGCTATTTTCAGCTGGGATAACTGACGAAGGCCCCATACAGTATATAAATTGCCAGTAAATGATGTATGTAGTAGAGAAAGTACTTGAATGGGAAGCGGGATAATAAGAGATATGAGCCTGTAGATACAGATTACTCACATCATCACTCCTCCTCACTGCTGCCTATGGGCACAAGCAGGCAATGATCATGTATGAAATTCCACCTTGTGTATTTATCTAGTCTCTAATGAGACATCTAATAGGGGTTTAAACATACAGCACCCAACAGTTACATGGAGCATAGCCTGTCTGGCACAGTAAGGCAGGCCACAGCCACTAACATAAACAAAATCAATACACTGTTGTATAACAGCAGAAATTCCAGCAGATTAATTGATTAGCTCTATAGCCAGTAGCTTAAGGTAAACTACCACCTCAGTTAAAAATGACACGTCTAGGACTATCACATGTCAGATACAGCTACGTACAGGGAAAGTCTACAGTTCAGATTCACACTAGTTTACCTACCCCCTCCGGATCCCATCCCCTTTGACTCCTAGTCCTCCTGGTATTATTATGTAATTCACAGCATGGTGAAGAGGATGTAAAATGAAGAATGAATTCTTATTGATAAATGGTTATATTATTGAAGAGAAAATTATAGAAATTATTCATTCTGAAGTCTGACACTGTATTACTTTTTTTTTTTTTAAAATAAATTTGAAAAAAAGGGGAGGGGGTGTCCCATTCAATCTCCCCGGAGGAAACATTGTATATTTAAAAAAAAACTCGATGACCAATAACATGTTTTGTAAAATTCAGTGAGAACCCAGCATTTTATAATGCTATATAGGTGTTTATTAGTTCAAATCTCGCCAGGAAAGAAAAGGTTATTGTAATTTTTATTGGTTAAATTATGATAAATGTTTTGTGAAATATGTAAATTTGCTAAATTTACATTTGATTTATTAGGAAGTTAATGCAATGGAATATTGATGGATTCAGTGCACATGTTGAGCCCTTTCGAGCAATATAAGTAATGAACGTGAATGTAAACCTATACATGATATTTTCATATATTTCTTCATTTGGTTGAGAAATTTAGGTCTAATGAGCTATTTTTCAGTAATAATAATATCCCGACTTAAAATGCCATAACTGTGTAAATAAAATGGCATGTAATTGTAGATTTTTTTGTATCAAGTGTCTGAAAGTAGTTGTAGAAAATAGAATATGCAATATTTTGCATTGTGACATTTATTTTTCAGAAATGTGCCAAACCTATTCCAATCTGCTGCTTCTGCTTGGGGGATGAGAACAAGAACCGCAATAATGAATACGAGGACCTGATCTCCTGTGCTGACTGTGGAAACAGTGGTAAGTGGTGGTGCTATGTGATTCAGCTATATACATTATTGTCACGATACTTCAAAGGACACGGTAATATAAATGTATCATGTTGACACCTGGATATTCTAAACCCTTGCACAAAAGTAAACTTTTTTGGGAAAAAAACAAATGAAATTTTGAATCGATGTATGGCAAACAGCCACAAACTACCAAAAAACCCTCATATCCATATAAACTTCCTTACAGTGCCCTTCTAGACAGAATTATTCTGATGTTTTATCAACTTTTTTATATCGGTCTGTTAACGTCAGAACTCCGGCCCTCTATAATATGCGGGAAATAAGCGACCCGCATCTGGGTCGCTCTTCAAACTGATATTTTAGAAACAAATCGTCACTTTCACACACATGTCGCACATGGATTGAAAGATCTACTCTTCATGCACAAGATGAACATAAATTACAAGCCTCAAATAACCAATACAATCACTAAAAACATATTTTTTCAAACTTACTCTGGTTTACTTTACGTTTTTGATGGGCGCCTTCTAATGCCACGTAAAATCTTGACGGCCTACGTCATAACGTTTGGAAATACCTTCAGTAATGCGAGATCTCGCCAAGTCATGTGACATTGTTCCTGCCCTAATTTCCATTAAAAACATGGGTTGGTATAGAAAACGTTGGAAAATACTGTTCTAGGCCTCTTGTTTTAGAAATGACAAGACTTTGTCCATTTGCATGTAAATATAACCCCTGACTAACCATGAAATACATGCACACTTCCATTAACATCATGCTAATCTAACTTCAATTTTGCTAATATTTCCAGGTGCGCGATACAGACCCTCTGGGCCTCTTATTAACAAAATGCACAATTCATACTAGTAGTAAGATGCTTTCCATAATTTACATTAGTTTACAAATACAAGATTGTCAGTGGTATGAATGAATATTGTTTTCCTTCTCCAATGTATAAAGTTACATATCTATGAAAACACATACCTTTTTGGAATTTCAAGTTCTTGGTTACCAGTCTTGGACTAGCAGACAAGTGTCTAGATTCTAACTTTAGTCACTCAATTTGTTTTTTCAGGTCACCCATCTTGCCTGAAGTTTTCTGCCGAGTTGACAGAAGTTGTTAAGGCTCTTAGATGGCAGTGTATCGACTGTAAAAAGTGTTCCTTTTGTCAAAAATCTGGAAGGGAGGTATGTACTGGTAACACATAATGCTCTTGTTGCTTTTGGTGCGATGCTTTCCTGTGGATGATCAATGTAACAGGATGATCAATGTAGCACGCTGTATATCAACTCAGGGTTAACACTGATTCTATACAAAAAATAGACCATATAGTTTGATTACATATGGAATACTATACAGTTCTAAATGAATTTACTGAAAAGGCCATTATTGATTATTTGTTTGATACTGATTCCATTTTCTTCCCTTTAGGAACAGAGTAAAACAGTTGTCGACAGAATACATAAAAGTTTGTCAAGTGTGAGCAGTGTACAATTTTCATGCCTTTGTACTTGTTTCAGGACAACATGCTTTTCTGTGATTGCTGTGACCGGGGGTTCCACATGGGATGTTGTGACCCCCCACTTATCAAAGCCCCTAAAGGTTTGGCATATACCTTTATATATACATGTGTATACTATATATATATAGGATTTTGCATGTAATGCTTGAAAGTATTTTCAGTGATGCAACAGTAGGCTATCATATATATCTCTCTTAAAGTTTCCTAGTTTTGCAGTCTATTTCTGCGAAAGATAAATTTATTTGAAAATAGCTATTGCAGTCTATTTCTGCAAAAGATAAATTCATTTGAAAATAGCTATTTCCCTAAATTTTGTCATCACATTCCTTCAGGTTATTTAGACTCTATTAAGCAAAGAATCTTTTTATATCCAGATATATTAGATATCCTGTGAAACTATAATAACCGAGAGTACTGAGTTAAATGTTAACTTTTGAATGATTTTTTGCCTGCTAGGTTAATTTGAGAATGGACACATTTGATCATATATCCACAGTGCACCACTACATATACAGCTATGTAACATAGAATAAGGTATTCCAAGAAATCAAACAGGTCCAGTTGATGTGTAGTACATATTGCATCATGTCTTTGGTTTTATCTTTCGTTGCTGTGAATAGTTCAGGAATAATTGTTGCAATGATTATGTGTGCTTTTTCACCCCTTCAAAACATGATAAAATAGTGCACGTCTTCAAAATAATTGAATCGGTGAAAGTAAAGTGACATCGCGTTAATATCGAGTCATTGATTCTATCTAATTTTGGTAAGATTAGGCTTGTTGATGTGGGATTGTATCGTTAAAATTTGATTAAATTTGACAGGCAAGTGGAGGTGCAACATATGTGACCCAAATAGAGGCAGCAAAAAGGGGAAACGATATTTGGAACTGGCAGCTAAAATGAAAAAGAAGTTTAGCAAAACAATGGCAACAAAGAGCATGCGAACCCCAAAGGAGAAACCCCCAGTTGCAAAGTAAGATTGTCAATCAAAACATCTTAAACAGTTTTATGATAAGTTATCAATATCCTTTAATAGTGATAATAGACTTTATTTTTAGCCCACCGTCGGCTAATCAAATCACCCTGCGACCGTCCTTAAGCATTTCTTGTTATGGCTATTTATCAAGAAGTACCAGAGAGATCTATCTTAAATTTAATATGTAGGTTCCCCTTGGTCCCAAGTTGTGCAGGGCGACTTTTGAGACTGATCAGATAAACAACATGGCCGACAGGCAGCCATCTTGGATTTTTATAGTAAAGGTTTAGGGATCTTACTCAAATTTTATATATTGGTTCCCCTTGGACCCTAGTTGTGCAGGGCAACTTTTGAGACTGATCGGATAAACTACATGGCCGACAGGCAGCCATCTTGGATTTTGATAGTGAAGGTTTGTTATCACTATTTCTCGGAAAGAACATGATGGATCTTTATCAAATTTTATATGTAGGTTCCCGTTGGTCCCTTGTTGTGCAGGGCAACTTTTGAGACTGATCAGATAAACAACATGGCCGACAGGCAGCCATCTTGGATTTTTAAAGTAAAGGTTTAGGGATCTTACTCAAATTTTATATATGGGTTCCACTTGGACCCTAGTTGTGCAGGGCAACTTTTGAGACTGATCGGATAAACTACATGGCCGACAGGCAGCCATCTTGGATTTTGATAGTGAAGGTTTGTTATCACTATTTCTCGGGAAGAACCTGATGGATCTTTATCAAATTTTATATGTAGGTTCCCATTGGTCCCTTGTTGTGCAGGGCAACTTTTGAGACTGATCAGATAAACAACATGGCCGACAGGCAGCCATCTTGGATTTTTATAGTAAAGGTTTAGGGATCTTACTCAAATTTTATATATGGGTTCCACTTGGACCCTAGTTGTGCAGGGCAACTTTTGAGACTGATCGGATAAACTACATGGCCGACAGGCAGCCATCTTCGATTTTTGACATTGAAGGTTTGTTAATACTATTTCTCAGGAATAACTTAAAGGATCTTTCTCAAATTTGATATGTGGGTTCCCCTTGATACCTCGTTGTGCATGTTATATTTTGAGACCGATCATAAAAACAAAATGGCTAAAGGAAAAACTAAACAGATCTTTCTCATATTGCAATGATCGATTCTATTACTTTCACATTAGGTACTGTACTAGTAATTATTTGAAATGTCAAACTCACTTTGAAGGTTGTTTCATACACATCAGTATTAAGTTTAGATCAAAAGTTACCTCAAGATGCATTTACTGTTAACATGACTCGATCAAACAGATTAGAGAAAAGAAGAGAAAAGATCGAACTGACAAAGAACTAATAAAGATGGTGCAATGGTGGGCGCCAAGAATCCTCTGGGATCTCTTGTTGAATTCAATTGAAACACATTGAGTCAAGGACTTGTTTCACATGTGGAGGGCATAAAATATTTACAGTATGAGCAAAAAATATTATAAACTGGAGAGGGCAGGGCATACATATTACAAAAATACTGGGATGGGTTGAACTCAAAATTGATGGTTTTGTTGGTGGAGGTATAAGATCTTAGGAACATTTGTATATCTGTACATTGGGGCACCCCAATATACTTAATGCTGGAATAGCCAAAAAATTAACCTTTTTGATCCCCTATTTATATACTCTTCTAAACAGAAGGGAAAACAATCAGATTTAGAAATGAGATCTGATGATATAAATTAGAACTATAATTTACCTAATTGGATTTTGTTAATAACCTATTAGAGCACTGAAGGTAAATGTTACATTCCACTGTTTTACAGATGTGCAACACCTGGCTGTGATGGAGCTGGTAATGTCAATGGCAAATCAGCAGTCCATAGGACGTGAGTATTGCCCCGCTATTTCATTGTTCAACTTATTTTGTAAGGTTTTTACTGTTATTGTGTTGGTTCAGAATTTGTTTACATAATATTTAAGCCAATTCGAAGTTTTCAGATTGACTTCTATGTGTTGAAATTTTAATTAAACTGTTTTGCCATAGAGATTAATTGCACTGGATGATTTTTGCTGAAGTCTCTTTTTTTAGCTCACCTGCCCAAAGGGCAAGTGAGCTTATGCCATGGCGCATTTTCCTTTAAAACGCTACTAGACCTGAACAGCTAAGTGGATTTTAAATTTGTTATGCTATTTCTCAGAAAGTTCCAGAGGGATCTTTCTCAAATGTTATATGTAGGTTCCCTCAGTCCCTAGTTGTGCAGGTTAAAATTAAAAATTTGGTCCGGAGCATCCTTGGGCCAAGGGCTCTCAATTTTGTATAAACGGTGGGTGTGGCCCCCGTGGGGGCAAAGGAGCGGGGCCCAATAGGGGAAATAGAGGTAAAACCTTTAAAATCTTTCTTCACCATAGGGATTTAGGTATTTAATCCCAATTTAGCCTGGAACATCCTTGGACCAAGGGGACTCAATTTTGTATAAACCATGGGTGTGGCTCCACTGGGGTCATAGGGGTTGGGCCCAATAGGGAAAATAGAGGTGAAACCTTTAAAATCCTTCTATGTTACGGATTCAGGGATTTTAACCTAGTTATTAATCTGGGCCATTCTTAGGCAAAGGGGACTCAATTTTGTATAAACCGTGGGTGTGGCCCCTCTGGGGGCGGAGGAGCGGGGCCCTATGGAAAAAATAGAGGTAAAACATTTAAGGTGACTTAATTTTGTATAAGCCGTGGGTGTGGCTCTACTAAGGTCAGATGGGTGGGGCCGAATAGAGAAAATAGTTAAAATCCTTCTATGTTATCACTACTTTGAGGGAAGGGAAATTAATTTTTGTATAAATGGTGGGTCTGACCCCCTTGGGGACAGAGGGATGAACATTTCCAGGTGAGGGGTACAGGCCCTCTGGGCCTCTTGTTTTCATTTCAGTAGTTAAAAAAGATTCTTTGAGAAAATAACCCTTTTGAGAGTGAGCATATGATATCTCTAATGAACCTTTGGTTTGCAGGCAAATATTTTGTCCACTGTTGACGCCACAGCAAAGACGAATCTTCCGCATACAGAAAAAATTTGGGGTCAAGAATGGCATCCGTGGCGGCCACTCTGGCTCCGAATCGGAGGACGAGTCCTCATCTGGTAAAGTAGCATCTACTAAACACACAAAGGACGACAGTTCTTCATCTCCCGGTGATCAGTCAGAGAGCGATGAGGAGGCTAGCACCTTTGAGCCGTTTTTTGCCTTGACCGAACCCAAGGGCTTAGTCGATGGCTTGTCACGGTTTTTCACGCCATCAAACAAAAGAACTTCTAGGGTGTCTTTGAATTCTGGCGATTTTACAGCACTGTCCAATAAAGCCTGTTCTATAAACAATGGTGTAAAGCAATCACAAAGCAACTCACAGCAGGCTGCCAGTAGGATACTTAAACGCTCTAGGTTACTACAGGCTGCCAAGCGCCACAAATACACGGGGCCTCCGGGCACTGGGCAACTGAAGGGGCTATTTGACGGACTCTCCCATTTGTTTACTGCTCAGGGGGACAGGAAGAAACTGGTACCTGATTATGCCCCAATATCGCGAGGTCGCCGACGAATGAAGATATCTGACTATTTTCATAAGTGTAGCCCTATTTATAGTAATAATAATAACAATATCAATGACATTCTAGAGAAGCCAGCGGAAAGGTCAAGTTCGCCCTCTCCCTCTTCCTCTTCCTCTGTGGACTCCTTGGAAGAGCCAGTCCAGTCCGACATGTTAGTTGAACCGTCCAATGACTTTCCACCGGTTATACCTATGCTCCCAGTGGCCCGGGGTCGAGGAGCAGGTCGAGGCAGGGGTCGGGGTCGAGGTAGAGCTAGGGGTACATTTAATTCAGTCCGGGGCAGAGGGCAAAGTAGAGGAAGACCCTTTGTGAAACGAGGGAGGCCTTTCAGCAGAGGAAGACCATTTAGCACTAAGACTAGGCCCTTTAGTCGCGGCAGGCCCTTCAGTAAAAGAGGTCAGTCGTTGAGTAAAGAACGGCCAGTTGGTCGTGGAAGACCCTATAGTACAGGTAGGCCATTCCATAGAGGTAGGCCCTTTAGTCGAGGAAGGCCATTTAGTGAAGGTAGGCCATTCAGCAGAGGAAGGCCATTCACCCGAGGGAGAGTAAAGCTTGGGAGGCCATTCAGCAAGACGCTTCCGTCTGGTCGAGGAATGAGTGCTGGCAGAGGAGTGAGTCGTGGAGTAGGTCGAGGCATGGGTAGAGGAAAAGGGAGAGGTGTAGGGAGAGGTGTTGGGAGAGGAATGGGACGAGGTGTAAAGAAAGAACTTTTGAGCAATATATTTGAGTCCAAGATCCTACCAATGTCTTCACCACCAGTAGTTGGCAGACCTGCCAGAGGTGCACATTCCAAACTTACATCATCGCCGATTGTCCAGTCGCCAGTGACTCATTACCCAAGGGGTCGGGGGCGGGGGAGGGGTGGCAGTCATGGTACCCCCGTCCCCCCGGCCCCTTCTTCATCAGAGAGCGAGGACGACAGCGATGAGGACAGCGATTCCGACGATGACGATGAGGACTCTCTCATCCTTGCCAGTGGATTAGAACACAGGGGTAAGACTCAAAGTCACGTTTACACAGCCCTATAACTACAAATAGCGATCCTGTGTATCACCTGGCCCCTGCTCACCATTGCTTGAGTTGCTGTGTCCCATGCCCGAAGGGTCTTAATTGCCATCCTCCGCTCGCACACTCGTTTATCGTCACATAGGCTAGCTAGCTAGGGCTGTAGTGCATGATGTGGTTGGTAGCCTTGGCCTTGTTTCGTGACCTCAGTTCACTATGACCTTGACCTCTACAGCATGAGAGGCATGACATGCAGCCCTGCCTACTTTTGCATCCATCGATCTTATGTTTTTGTCTGCGTCAATTAAAATACATATCTGAAAAACAATTTGGTGTCTTCCGAATAAAATGAAAAAGAAATTCTAAAATTGCAGTAAAACGCAAAAACTGGTTCAAAGGTGTCACTCATGCTTCTCTGAACAGATTGCAGATTTGTCGGGATGAAGTACATCAAATTTCATGCGCTGCCTTTTCTGTTTTCCTGGCAGTGTCTGCTGTTTTGTGAAGAAATGTTCTTGTAGTTTGAATCTGTTAACCGTGAATTTTCTTGTGTATTGCTGTATCTTGCTGAAAATGTACTGATATTTATGTTATAACAGATTGTGCATGGGTTGTTCAACACAGTTTCCTGCTTTATACAGTTCCTGTTGTGTTTCCTTTCAAATCTGCATTCTGTTCACAAATAAAGACTGTTGGTTTTGAAAGGGAAAAACCCTGGAGAAGATTGCTTTTTATTTAATTAATTGCATGTGTTTTTTTCTCAATGTTTTGTTTCATGTAAATAATATTGATGCACAGTTCATATAAAATACCGTACTGTACAGTCCACACTATCTGGTAAAACATTACAATTCCAAAGCGTTTCGCCTTGTACTCATCAGTTGTATTATTACTTTTTTTATTACCATCATCTTTCTACAACACTCGTTCAAATGTATACTATTTATTCTAATAACTGACAGAGACTTGTTCAGCTTTCTACAATGTAAGGAAATGTGTTGTTTCTTGAAATTTTACATTTTTATTCTAATTCGAAGGATTAATGACACTCTTTGGGGCATCCTCCAATGTTAACACTACATTTATTTTGTAAAATCTCCAAAGTCAATGTGATATTTGTGGCACAATCTAGTCACATGTTTGACTGTACAGGCAGGTGGATTGCCTTACTGTAGAAATGATCACTGAGCACATGGGCTTGTAGAGTTGATATGGTGATGGTGGTGGTGGTGATGGTATGAGGTGGTATGGTGATGGTATGAGTTGGTATGGTGATGGTGGTGGTGGTGATGGTATGAGGTGGTATGGTGATGGTATGAGTTCGTAGTGTTTGCAGCATCCTTTGCCAAAGGGAATTCATCATGGTGTCGGGGGCAGATGAGTGGGACCTCGGAGAAATATTGAAAAATCTTTCAATTCAAAAGCATTTTATTGACAATATATATATATAATACAAACATGAAAGCTGTATATATTAAACCAATTAAGATATTGAAAAATCTTTCAAATCCTACTCCTTGTGGAGTTATGGGATTTTAATCTAAGTTAGTTTAGAGTAGCATTTGGCCAAATGATTCATAATTATATAAAGGGAGGGTATGGCTATCCTGGGGGCCGAGAGGTTGGTCCCAATACAGGGAAAGCCGGTATATCCTATATCTTGATTATGGATTAAGGGATTTTAACTGAATTTGACATGGAGTATCATTGGGTCCTTCTGATAATTATGACAAGATTTCTTATGGATGTTTAAATCAGGTGAGCCTTTCAGGCCCAATACCTTGTATATGGAGGGAGCTGATGCCTATCAGCTGTACAATCTGTGTATATGAGGGTGGACCTTTTACTAACACAGACTTATCATGGTATTTTAAGGAGGGGAATTGATGGCATTTCTGTTCAATGGAAAAATGTATTGTAGGGTAACCAAGAGACAGGGGAACCATCCATTGTATGGTGTATTGAAAACTCTAAAAGGGAAATTGTCTTCCGAACGAAAATGATATACCAAACAACATTTCACTTACCCCATAGTTATATTTCATGTGCAATATCCGTTTTTAACTGAGCCATTATGGTGTTTACTTATACTGGAATTGTCATTAAAATTTCTTAATTATCAACTTGTGAGCCTCTATGACATAACTGAAAGCATTCTATGTGTCCTGAGGGTAAGCTTTACTAAGGGGGGCATTCTGGGTGTCCTGAGGGTAAGCTTTACTAAGGGGAGCACTCTATGTGTTCTGAGAGAAAGCTTTACTAAGGGGGGCATTCTTGGTGTTCTGAGATTAAGCTTTACTAAGGGGATATTCTTGGTAATCTGAGAGAAAGCTAATGAGGTAAGCTTTACTTAGGGGGCATTCTGGATGTTCTGAGAGAAAGCTTCACTTAAGGAGGCACACTAGGTAATCTGAGAGTAAGCTTTACTAAGGGGGGCATTCTTGGTGTACTGAGAGTTAGCATTACTAAGGGGGGCATGCATTCTGGGTGTTCTGAGAGTAAGCTTCACTAAGGGCGAGGGGGGGGGGGCATTCTGGGCGTTCTGAGTAAGTTTTACTAAGGGGGGTAATCTGAGAGAAAGCTACTGAGGGGGGCATTCTAGGTGTTCTGAGAGTAAGCTTTTACTAAGGGGGGCATTCTAGGTGTTCTGAGAATAAGCTTTTACTAAGGGGGGTATTTGGGTGTTCTGAGAGTAAGCTTTACTAAGGAGGGCATTATAGGTGTTCTGAGAGTAAGCTTCACTAAGCTGGGCATTCTAGGTGTTCTGAAAGTAAGCTTTACAAATTATAAGGGGGGTGTTCTGAGAGTAAGCTTTACTAAGGAGGGCATTATAGGTGTTCTGAGAGTAAGCTTCACTAAGCTGGGCATTCTAAGTATTCTGAAATTAACCTTTACTAGTTATAAGGGGGGTATGCTGTGTGTTCTGAGAGTAAGCTTTACTAAGGGGGTATTCTATGTGTTCTGAGAGTAAGCTTTACTAAGGGGGTATTCTATGTGTTCTGAGAGTAATCTTTACTAAGGGGGGCATTCTAGGTGTTCTGAGAGTAAGCTTTTACTAAGGGGGGGCATTCTGGGTGTTCTGAGAGTTAGCTTCACTTAGTGGGGGGCATTCTTTGTGTTCTGAGAGTAAGCTTTACTTTGTGGGGCATTCTGTGTGTTCTGAGAGTAATCTTTACTAAGGGGGGGGGGGATTCTTTGTGTTCTGAGAGTAAGCTTCACTAAGGGGGGTATTCTGTGTTCTGAGAGTAAGCTTAACTAAGGGGGGCATTCTGTGTGTTCTAAGAGTTAGCTTAACTAAGGGGGCATTCTGTGTGTTCTGAGAGTAAGCTTAACTAAGGGGGGCATTATATGTGTTCTGAGAGCAAGTGTAGTTCATTGTGTGTGTTTGTCAAAAACAGTGACTCATTTTGATCAGGTAGTGTGGACGATTAGCGGTGATATCTATGTTTAGTGAACTGATGATACCTAGTGATTAAACATCCTGACAAACACCACACAGTTCAGTTTGAGCTATCTTGGAGCTTCAACAAACTATCGGTGATGAAAGGACAGTACAGATGTTATGAGTCGGCTTACTTCTAGTTATGGTACATTGAGAAATTAGAATACTTAAATCCTGTATTTAGTGTAGATTATATATTCATTAAATTTCAAATTAACAACTTTGTATGCTATTATGAAAGCTTAATCCTGTCTGAACCGAGCTATGAAACCTTATCTTAAAACCTGCATAAACTAGATATTCATTGAAATTCCACTGAATATATTTTTAACTTTTTTTATATGTAAAGCTATGTATTGGTCAGTGGTGTTTGGTTAAGACAGGTTCAACTGTGATATGACAAAGCTGCTGTACTCTAGCTGGAAACTTGTTCATCACGTTGATGTATAGAAAGGAACCTGATGTCTTGACACACAAAAAAAATCATTTTCAAACTTTTCAATAATATAATAATCTGGCAAAAGTAATTTTGTTTCAAATCAATGAAGTCTTAACGAAAGTTTTGGAGAAATCAGGGCAAGATATGAATGTCAGATAGTAATTTTTAGTCGTAAGTAAAATGAATATTCTGAACAATTTGTTCACTGTCAATTATGTATGACGAAAATAGCTTAATTCATTTCAGCATTGATCCATGGTGTTTGACTTGACATTTGGACCTACTGTAGTTATCTACTACAAAGTTTTTTGAAATAATACCATTTTCATTAAACAGATTTCTCTTTTCTCGCAGATGAAGAGAAAATGGAGCTTGACAACAATGGGCTCCCACCTCATGTCACTGATGACGATGTGGATCTCTTCAAACTTGCGCAGGAAAAGGCGCAGGAAGCACTCAACCAGGTAGGTTTGGTTTCCATGTCTTAGCGCATTGTCGGCGTGGTAACAACTCAGAGGCCTAACACTTGTGATGTGACGATATTCAGCTTCACAAACGGCTCTTCTTGCTTATGTGGCAGATCCTTGTTTTGGTGGTTGTTTGACGTCTTATCTGTTTTTTGGTTCCGTTTCATCACATTTTATTTTGCATTTTCATGTGTTGTGATAAGTGTGGTTTTGTGACGTTTGCCTTGACTAGCAATAGATATCATTTTGCAGTAACTTCTCCATTTTGTTTCATTTCAAAGGTGGATTTGTTAACAAATTTTAAACGCAACCAAATGTTTTCTCCGTGTTATAGCGAAAATGACATTTATCCAATCGGGAGTGTTTGGAACCCATTTCTGGTATTATGTCGAGCAAGGATGATAGATCGGGTGTATTAGCAACACTTGATTGTGTTTGGTATCAAGGATATATCTTGTGAAGTTTGTTAACACAAAGTGTAGACAGTTTTGGTTTGGGTGTCTGGAGATGATTTTGGTTTGTTAGGTTTTTCTTTTGATATTAGTTTTAAATTGTTAGGGTAGATGTTGATAAACCCGTTAAGATTGAGATGGTATGGCAATGTAATGGTCTTACTACCTTACTGAAAAAATGTCGACTAAACCTTTATCGGGGGTGAATTTCACAGGACTGGGATTAAATATGTGACATTAATCTTTTAAGTACCACATGCACTTTTAATTCTACTGAATTGTTGGTCTTTGTCCAGAAATGTATATGGCAAGTAATGTACTGAAACTGAAAATCTTAATAGAAATTGACAGCAATACTTGGAAAAAGTTTCCACTGATTGCATTTACAATATTTTCAAAAGTTGCATAACAGTATTCAGGTAAAAAGCTTCAATCTAAGTTTGTATGGCCGAGTGGTTAAGTCGTCTGACATTCTGCTACCTCTAGCCCTCCACCACTGGGTTGCGGGTCCGAGGCCTGTTTGGGACAGTCACCAGGTACTTGGCGCAGGTCTGTGGTTTTACTTCGGGTACTCTGCTTTCCTCAACCATCCGAACCTGGCAGTCCTTAAATGACCATGGCTTTTGATAGGACGTAAAACACAAACAAACCAAATCTAAGAATGCTGTTTGAATGTTTGTGAATCTGTGGAAGTTCAGTTTTAGGCTGTTTGTAAATGTGTTAGTTGTGTTTTACCTGTATATGTGATAGATTTTTGGTTCAGTGTTAGAAGGGGGCGGCTTGTGACTGCTGTGACGGTAGAAGACCTTAATATCTAGCTGATACGTCTGGATTGTTACTCAGAACATTGTGTGGTAGAGCTTCAATGTTTTTCATAATGCCATTTTTGTGTATATCACCAAACCAGAACTCATAAAATAAGTTACCAGTAGTGAAAAATTCAGAAACTGGATGGCGAAATATTAAAGTAGAAACCTTGGATAATGTCTAAACATGATTTTAAAGATTATGTAAATAAATCATATGACACAAGTGACAACTTATTTGATGTGTTCAGTTTGATTGGTGGTGTATATTTAACCTTGTGCTGTTCAGTATGTATGACACAAGTAATGCAGAATTAACAGTCCTGACACAGAATATAAAGGGAGATAATTGGCCTTTGCTTTTTCATAACAGCGATGCTAGACTAATCTTCTGTTTATAGTATTTCACACCTTAATGCCATAAGATAAATATTTGGAATGTGTTTTCTTATCAGTTAAGATAGAATTGAAAAAGATGGATAAAATAATCCTCATTTTTGGGAAAAGAACTTATATATATATATATAATTCATTTTAAATTAACCTTATACAAGGTTTCAGCCTTTTCTAAATGGATCCATATCATCAGTGATATGTAACATTGCTCACCAATTTTACATACAAATTTACTAGACATAGCGAGGATGATTTTCTCTGTCTTAGCTTTGTTTCCCACAAGCAGCTTGTGTTATAAATATTTTGAATGTAGATAGGTAGTTTTATCCTTGTATTATAGTCATCTTGCCACAATGCATGCCGATTTATCATTTATACAGCAGTATCATGAACTCATCGTAACTTAATTTACAGAGCCAACATGAATTGGTTGTTTGATTTGAAAGAAAACCATTAAGAAAATAATGACACGTAGTGATTTGTCATAAATCTTTTGACAGAATTCTTCAATCATCGATTTTTTTTCTTTTTCTGGTGACAGAGATTTATGATATTGCTTTTATAGTTTATCTTGTTATATAGCACACCTGTGTCTGGATTTTATACTTTATTTAATCAGTTTTTTTATGGAACATGCATGATCCCATCATTAGCATTAGCCTCATATATTGTCATTTGAGTATTATATGTTATTTAGCGTGGTTCTGACCTTTTATTTACTGCCATGCATTGTTTGGTTCCATAATTATTTTATTACTCCTTGCACCTTGCACCCTATTTAAATGTTTAGTCCTGAATTTTAACTGCTGTCGTCACATCACATTTAATTTGTTAAGTGCCATGTTTGTCAATTTGAACATCTCATTAATCCCAATTTTTTTGGGTTACAGTATGATATTGATTTACAGGATGCGGCAAGCAACTGCAGTAGTGAGCTGTGTGAAGCCCCTGCCCCTACGCCAGTTCAGAGCCGCTTCCCACCCTGCATTGAGTTTGGAAAGTACGAAATACAAACATGGTACTCGTCACCATATCCACAGGAGTATGCCAGGTAAGTGCCCTATCTGTCTTCTGTTGACCAACTCCATGTTTCGTCTATACCATATGGATTGGAGGTGTCCTTGTGTAATGACCAATAGTCACAACTTGTAGTGTTTCGAAGTCATGTCATAGAGATCAGAATTGTTTGTTTAAGAATTGGTTTGAAGGGTTTTTTTTGTGTTTTTTTTATATGACCAGTTTTAGATAATTTTACACTAAACAATTCAAAACCCAATCTAATTAAAATTATATCTTCACATCGCTCCCGTTTACTGATATGTCGCGTTGAAGATCTAACAACATCCCATAGAGGGTCACGTCAGAGGTCAACATGAATGCATTATCGCATTTATAACAAGCCAATCAAAACGCGACATAACTCTTTCATTCAACCAATCAGAAAGTAGGACCTGTGGCATTTAATGCAGACACCTCGTAGCCCAAAATCCACTTTTTCGTCTGGTCCAGTGATAGTTTGAATATTGCGAAGCCTGTCATTGGTTAATTTTAGTTTCAGGTTGTTAAACTTTTTAACGACAACATCACCAGAAGAGGAAGTCTCTCTTATTTCAAAGCAAAATCCACAAATTGTACAAACGTTGTCTTGTAGATAGACACGGCGTGGTGTCATGGGCGCCGCCATTTTCGATGCTCATTTGACACCTCTCGGTCTTTTATCATAGCAAGTGTGTTCCGAAATCATTACATCATCACTTACAGAAATGCGTGAGCTCTCATCTGATTGGTTAATGCAAAGGTCGCCTGAACATGACCCTCTACGGGATGTTGTTAGATCTTCAATGCGACATATCAGTAAACGGGAGCGATGTGAAGATATAATTTTAATTAGATTGTTCAAAACCTTTCCTAGAAACTGTGCACTTATATGAATTAAAGTACTATACTGAAATTCACATATTTTGTGCTTTGGAAATATTGTGATATGAAATAAATTATAATACTGTACATATGAAACTGTGCTTAAATTTTATCATAATCTACTGCACCATTGGAATTGTGTGTGTTACAGCTCTTTAGTGTCATCTTTGTTGGTAATGCTGCTGCAATACATTGCATTCTTTGCTAATATATAAATAGCTAATGTATATTTTGCACTTATGTATATTTTGCACTGATTTAATTAGTATGAAATTAATGAAAATGACTGCATTTTACTTAGCATTTAATTTGTATGTATTAAAGAATTCCAATTGATTTTATCCCCGTTTGTCTCGGCCTTGGTATAGAGGTATATAATGGGAAGGAAGCTGTATAGTGTGTCACAACCTAAAACAAGGAAAAGGTGACTGCAAATTGACTGTTGACCTTGATCTCAAGTACTTCGGTGAGGGTTTTCTGGAGCATATCTCTCCTATTGTATTATGACAGGACATCAAACTTTATATATAGGTTCATCACAGGAAGGCAGTGTGTTAATTGTAAAATTAGGTGAGATTTACCTTTATTATACCCCTGCAAATGATGTTAGGGGCTGGGGTGGGTGGGAATAGGTATCGCCCTGTCCATCTGTCTGATCATGAACCTTGTAAGTGCCACTCCTCCTTAAATGGTCCTGGATTCTTTTGTATCTCGACACATTGAAAGCCATCAAAAGTTAATTTGAAGGAAGAAAGAAATTTTTGAGTCAACTATCTATGAGTTATGGTCCTTGACACTTAAAATTTCTGGTTGTAAGTGCAACTCCTCCTTTAATACTTTTTGTTGTTATTTGGCACAGTGGAATTACACCATATGTAAATGTGCATGAAGGAAAGGATTTGTAATTCAATTGTTTTACCCCTTTCAAAGTTTGAATGTGTAGTTAAGATGAAGTGGGGGGTATATCTTTCACTAGTTTGACCTTTGACATTGGTCTGAAGTACTAAAATAATGGTTTGCGTGTATAAGACTTTGTACATAGGTACATCATGGGGAGACAATGAGGTCCTTAACACCTTTTACCTTAACCTCAAGTATAAAAACAGTGTAATGCTGATTTCTAAAACCTTTCTTGACTACTATTTCAGGTTTTGACTTCAGACTTGGGTGTGTATGTACTTTATAATCAAGGAAGATGTTGAGTAATAAAATTGGTTTAATTCAATCTCAATATGGCTACAGGTTTATAATACATGATAACATCATAGGCATAGGTCGGTGGAAGGTATTTTGGCTACTATTTTAAGTATGGATGTCTAGACTTATAGTAAAGGTCAAGTGGTCACAGTGTGGTGTATCGAAAGTAGGTTCATGAGGTCAACGTCCAACTGCTTTACCTTATCTCAAGTACCTAACATTATTTACACAGGAACAGATATGGGAGGAGCAGGGGTATTGGTGAAGCCCAGGCTTAACAGTTAAATCTAGTATTATGTGGAAATATCTTGCAATGTTGGTTTACAGGATTTCACAAGGTTTCAAACATTGAACATTTTATAAACTGTTCTTGCACATATACTGCATGTACAACCCAGTGGTTAGTACTTTGATCAGGGTTGCAATCGGTTTTGACCTTGTCATTGAAGGTATCAAGATTAGGCTGATTTAACATTTTATATTTATAAATGGAAACATAGAAACGTTTTTCTCTTATTTTTTAATCTAATATATATTTACAAGCAAAAGAGATGTTATTTTGGTACATAGGTCACAATTGCTTTAGTTTTTGTTCTGTTAACTCATTCACCCCTGAAGACACATTTGAACCCTTCCAATTCCAAGGTTGGAATAGTTCATTATAAAATGTCAGGGGTGAATGAGTTGAACTATTTCCAAAATGTATGAGGTAAAATATGCTTTTGTGATAAGAAATTCAACAGATATGATGTAAAATGTGGTGGTTGTTGTGTGCTTGTAGGCTGCCGAGGCTGTACATCTGTGAATACTGTCTAAAGTACATGAAGAGCAGAAATATCCTCCAACGACATATGGTAAACCATGTTGTTTATAAGAGATGCTGTGAGCATTTCTAACAACAACAATGTTGTGATTGATCATACCTATTATTTCCTCTGTTGTAAAATCTGGTAACAACTGCACTACCATGTCTCTACAGCTGTTTGATCAGTGCATTTATCATCTATATACTACTTTATACCACCTACCGGTAGCACGATCAATTCATTATCATTGGTTGTCAGTATGAGAAGAACTTGAGAACAGATTTTCTCATTCCCAAGCAGTTGGGAACATATGTGTCCACACAAAAGTGATCAACGTAAAAAAATAGTCTGTCATAAACATACCAATACAAAGTTACGGATTTTTTGTGTGTGAGAATAACAACACCGTTTCAGGTGTAAATGTGCATATAGAAAAGCCAATGACAATAGGATTGTTTTCGAAATATTTGTTTCCCCCTATTTCACTATAACTGTTTACAAGGTCTATGTTATATAGTTACTGTATACATGAAACTGGTTACCAGGTCTATGTTATATAGTTACTGTATACATGACACAGTGTAATGTAACTGGTTACCAGGTCTATGTTATATAGTTACTGTATACATGACACAGTGTAATGTAACTGGTTACCAGGTCTATGTTATATAGTTACTGTATACATGACACAGTGTAATGTAACTGGTTACCAGGTCTATGTTATATAGTTACTGTATACATGACACAGTGTAATGTAACTGGTTACCAGGTCTATGTTATATAGTTACTGTATACATGACACAGTGTAATGTAACTGGTTACCAGGTCTATGTTATATAGTTACTGTATACATGACACAGTGTAATGTAACTGGTTACCAGGTCTATGTTATATAGTTACTGTATACATGACACAGTGTAATGTAACTGGTTACCAGGTCTATGTTATATAGTTACTGTATACATGACACAGTGTAATGTAACTGGTTACCAGGTCTATGTTATATAGTTACTGTATACATGACACAGTGTAATGTAACTGGTTACCAGGTCTATGTTATATAGTTACTGTATACATGACACAGTGTAATGTAACTGGTTACCAGGTCTATGTTATATAGTTACTGTATACATGACACAGTGTAATGTAACTGGTTACCAGGTCTATGTTATATAGTTACTGTATACATGACACAGTGTAATGTAACTGGTTACCAGGTCTATGTTATATAGTTACTGTATACATGACACAGTGTAATGTAACTGGTTACCAGGTCTATGTTATATAGTTACTGTATACATGACACAGTGTAATGTAACTGGTTACCAGGTCTATGTTATATAGTTACTGTATACATGACACAGTGTAATGTAACTGGTTACCAGGTCTATGTTATATAGTTACTGTATACATGACACAGTGTAATGTAACTGGTTACCAGGTCTATGTTATATAGTTACTGTATACATGACACAGTGTAATGTAACTGGTTACCAGGTCTATGTTATATAGTTACTGTATACATGACACAGTGTAATGTAACTGGTTACCAGGTCTATGTTATATAGTTACTGTATACATGACACAGTGTAATGTAACTGGTTACCAGGTCTATGTTATATAGTTACTGTATACATGACACAGTGTAATGTAACTGGTTACCAGGTCTATGTTATATAGTTACTGTATACATGACACAGTGTAATGTAACTGGTTACCAGGTCTATGTTATATAGTTACTGTATACATGACACAGTGTAATGTAACTGGTTACCAGGTCTATGTTATATAGTTACTGTATACATGACACAGTGTAATGTAACTGGTTACCAGGTCTATGTTATATAGTTACTGTATACATGACACAGTGTAATGTAACTGGTTACCAGGTCTATGTTATATAGTTACTGTATACATGACACAGTGTAATGTAACTGGTTACCAGGTCTATGTTATATAGTTACTGTATACATGACACAGTGTAATGTAACTGGTTACCAGGTCTATGTTATATAGTTACTGTATACATGACACAGTGTAATGTAACTGGTTACCAGGTCTATGTTATATAGTTACTGTATACATGACACAGTGTAATGTAACTGGTTACCAGGTCTATGTTATATAGTTACTGTATACATGACACAGTGTAATGTAACTGGTTACCAGGTCTATGTTATATAGTTACTGTATACATGACACAGTGTAATGTAACTGGTTACCAGGTCTATGTTATATAGTTACTGTATACATGACACAGTGTAATGTAACTGGTTACCAGGTCTATGTTATATAGTTACTGTATACATGACACAGTGTAATTTAACTGGCAATGCCTTTTTTCTCTACCTACAAAAATGGGGAGAAATGGTTTTTGAGAATTCTTTTAGGAGAAACTGAAATTTTCAGACCATAATTGTTAGGCTTTGTTTATCACCTTTTACCTGTGAATTCTGCTTGTATAGTAAGCAAAATATGTATAATGCGATCATATTTTCCCAGCAGATGGGGAAAAAAGTTACATCTGTACTGGTAATATAAAATATCATTACATTGGTGTCTTCCATGTGTCTTCAATCAAATGTCATGAAAGCTTTTTTTCGCAGGTCAATGGCAATATTTTGTTGTTTTACGAATTTTAATAATCAGTAAATTCTTAATTTTTCTGTTAAAAAATTATATATTTTCTGTTAAAAAATTATATAAATTACACTAGTGAAGATATCTGAAAAAGATTTGTTCTTTTGAATATATGATAATTTTTAACTGCAAAACCAAACTCTTGTTGACATGTTGTGCCAATTGACCTTTGCTTTGCAGAACAAATGTGACCTGCACCATCCACCTGCCAACGAGATTTACCGTAAGGATGGAATATCTGTGTTTGAGGTTGATGGTAATGCCAGTAAGATCTACTGTCAAAATCTGTGCCTTCTCGCCAAACTCTTCCTCGACCATAAGACTCTTTACTATGATGTTGAGCCCTTTCTCTTTTATGTTGTTACCACCAACGATGAGCTTGGCTGTCATGTCATCGGCTACTTTTCTAAGGTAAGCTGCTACTTAAGGGAAAATTTCGTTTTTAGCTCACAAAGTGCCTGTGAGCTTGGGGTATGGTGTAGGGTGTGTTGTCCGTCTTCTTTTTCTAGACCTCAATATTTTGCATTATATGTTCTTGATATGGAGTGCTATAAAATTTACTCAAATAAATTATCTTACCCTACTTTCAAGTTCACAAGCTTAAGGGTCAAAATGTGTTAAAACCATTTAAACAACTCCTTTTGAATAACCAAGAGACCTAGAGTAGTAATATTTGGCCATTAGATACCTTGCATGGAGTGCTATAAAGTTTTTTCCAAATAAATGACTGACCTAATTCCAAAGTCACAGGTGTCAAATATATGTAAAAATAACTTTTAAACCTCTTCTGAATAGCCAAGAGACCTGGAGTAATGATATTTGCCTGTAGGGTACCTGGGACAAAGTGCTATGAAATATTCTCCAATAAATTACCTTGATCTACTTTCATGGCCACAGTGGTCAAATATTTAAAAAATCTTTTTAACAACTTTTTCTGAATAATCAGGAAGCCATGGGTGAGGATATGTGGCCAGTTGGTACCTTGGATGTAGTTCTGTGGAGTTTCCTCAAATTGATGACCTTGATCTTTGTTGAAGGTCACAGGGGTCTAATATGTTTAACGTTTGAATGACTTCTGAATAACTATTAAGATACTCGGCCAATAACATGCTGTGGTGTGGTTCTATTAACTTTCCTCAAATAAATGACCTTGACCTACTTTCATGGTCACATGCATCAAATATGTAAAAACCTTTAAACAACTCCTTCTGAATAGCCAGAGACCCTGGGTGATGATATTTGACTAGTAGCATGCTGGAATAAAAAAGTACCAACTTTTCTCCAGTTAATGACCTTGACCTACTTTTAAGGTCACAGGGATCAAACGTGTAAAAGTCGTTAAACAACTTCTGCCTAACAATGGAGAGTACCATCAAAGAAATGACCTTGACCTATTTGAGGAAATTTAGCATTAAGTATACTTTGACCAAGAGGACTCGACGTTGTATAAATGGAGGTTCGGGCTCCCTAGAGGTATCCCTGTTCAGGACAGATTAAGTGTTCTCATTAATTTAGTCTGAAACATTGTTCAGCAAAGGACGCTCAATATGTGCAAATATTGCAAAATTCCTTTTATTGAGAACATTTCTCAAGATTGCTTAAATATTCTAAGTGAGTGATACAGGCCCTCTGGGCCTTTTGAATTGGATGTTTTTTCATGTGTAAACTAAAATCATTGGTGGGTCATAATGGTTGTTGGGAATCGGTTGGCATTTCATGATTAATAATTAATTACTAATTGATTAAAATTAGATGTTATTCTCTTATACAGCTTAAAATTTATTCCTTAACTCATTCCCCCCTGAAATTTCATTATGAACTGTTCCAATCTTTGAATTGGAAAAGTTTGTTAGTGTCTTTAGGTGTGAATGAATGAAGTTCCATTTCATGTGTTATGTTGAGGATTTTGCTACTCAAAACATTGAGACCATTTATATTTCCCACGATGAAGTGTATTGTGTTATAAAGTATAATATTTAAGATAAAAGTTAAAAAGTATCACGAGAACAGAATACATTGTGTGATAAAGTATAATATCTCTCTTTTAGGAGAAACATTGTCAACAGAAATACAATGTGTCGTGTATAATGACAATGCCCCAGTACCAACGCAAGGGCTTCGGCAGGTTCCTCATTGACTTTAGTTATTTGTTGTCGAGGATTGAGGGACAGCCTGGCTCCCCTGAGAAGCCCCTCTCTGACCTTGGGAGAGTCAGCTACCAGGCCTACTGGAAGAGCATTATTCTGGAATACCTTCACAAGTATCGAGACGCTAAAGTCTCAATTAAATGTAAGTGTCTCTCTGAATGCTTCTGTCAAAAATCAATGTTTTAACCGGCAAGTGTGAGTTAACTGTTAATGAAAAAATCTCTTTTCATACTTAAAATTTGTTGGAGATTGTTTGTTATATTTCGGAACTTTTGAGTTATTCAGATATGCTGATATCAAAAAGTTTTGTCCTGTGATGTAAAAACGTGTAATTGGATGTCGAGTATTTTTGTTGAGCTGTATGTTGATATACTTGCTGTGAATTTCACAACTTTTAGCTGGAAACTTGTAGTGGCTGAATTCATCAGAATTCACTAATGGCTATTTTTCATAAATAAGGAATGCAAATGTTGACATATCTGTTGTGTGTTGCAGCTATTAGCCGGACGACAGGCGTGTGTCCTCACGACGTTGGGCAAACCTTGCATCAGCTTAACATGGTGGCTCACAAAGACAGCAAGTAAGTGTGAACTCCTAGCTTATAACATGGTGTCTCACAAAGACAGCTAGTAAGTGTGAACTCCTAGCTTATAACATGGTGTCTCACAATGACAACAAGTAAGTGTGAACTCCTAGCTAATAACATGGTGGCTCACAAAGACAGCAAGTAAGTGTGAACTCCTAGCTTATAACATGGTGGCTCACTAAGACAGCCAGTAAGTGTGAACTCCTAGCTTATAACATGGTGTCTCACAAAGACAGCCAGTAAGTGTGAACTCCTAGCTTATAACATGGTGGCTCACAATGACAGCAAGTAAGTGTGAACTCCTAGCTTATAACATGGTGTCTCACAAAGACAGCAAGTAAGTGTGAACTCCTAGCTTATAACATGGTGGCTCACTAAGCCACAAGTAAGTGGTCATATATATAATACATATAAACGCTGTTGAAATTTATCCTAATACTTTCAACAGCATTTTTTCTTCAAACGCTGTTGACAAAAAGAAACGTGTCAGTACACCATACTGCTTGTGTCAGTTAGAGGATTGGTTATAAATGCCCTTTAGCCATGACATTCACAGGTTAAACCTCTAGAGGTAGTTAGTTCACCTGCTAATTCACAGGGAGGTATCGTAAATGCCCTTTGGCTATAGTATAAAGTGGTAACTAAGAACTACAGGAATTAACATACCTTTTAATTCACAGGTAAGATATTTAGGTGTGTAAACTGTATGACTATCTCTCAACTAAAAAGTAATGTATATATTGAATGTAGTTGATGCAGACACGGAATTACATTTCCGTGATTCAGACTTGAATGTACAAGTTCTTTTTCGGAGAATATATATGTCTTTATTTGTCGATTGATGATTTTACCCATTCAACATATATTGATTGCTGTCATTACTTACACTGTTTTGCAGATAATATATTGATATGTAAAGGGGGACATGTCAGAATGGGTACACGTAATGAACAGGACATCGTATAAGTTGTGCCACTGTGATGTCACATATCACGTGACCTCGTACCAGTTCAAAATATGCATATTCACTAGGCTGATATAGATGGGGCGTCACCTGGGATGTCTATCATCTGAGTACCAAGAGAGGCGGGGTTTCGGTCACTACAAGTATCATTGCATCAAATGAGCGTAAAATATGAAATTATGAAAAATCGTGGCCAAAATCCTTTGTCAGTTGACCTCCTGCCTTATTTCAAAAGATATAAGATTCTTAATAGCATTATAGATAGATGGTATGTCATCAGTGTGACCTAATATCATAGATCTCAAAATGGTCAGAAGATTATTGCATGTAATTTAAAAGGGTCTTATTCATTTTCAGGTTATGATTTAAAATTGGTATCATAGAAAGCTTAAAAATTTGATTTGTATATGGTTATTGCAGTCGGACAGCATTATTGCCAAGTTAAGTTATGTATGTCTGTAATGCTATCTCTGTTGTTTTGTAGAATTGTGATAGCAGTCAACAAGCAGTTGGTCAATGACCATATGGAACGCCTGGAGACTAAGCGTCATCAGCGAATAGAGCTTGACCCAGATAGTCTGCGCTGGACACCCCTCATATCTAGTCACTGCATCAATGAGGAGGAGCGCCGTGCTGAGACAGAGGTAAGACCAGTCTGCGGTGTCTATCTGGAGCTGATCGTTCATCATATAGCTAGTATAGTTATTGTGTTCACAATTTTACAATTAAACACCATGTTAAGCTGTTTTGCAGTGATTCAAATACACTAAAAGTTATTTCAGTAAAATATCTAACCCACCCCAGATGAAAAAAAAAAAAGATATTTCTATGCATAGTGGATGTTGGAGAAAGATGATTCTGTCCAACATAGTGGATGTTGGAGAAAGATGATTCTGTCCTACATAGTGGTTGTGGAGAAAGATGATTCTGTCCCACATAGTGGTTGTTGGAGAAAGATGATTCTGTCCCACATAGTGGTTGTTGGAGAAAGATGATTCTGTCCCACATAGTGGTTGTGGAGAAAGATGATCTCTGGATTGAGTTTTGTTGGATACACTATAAATAATATAAAATAATATGTTCATGAAGAATGTCTTTATTATGTATTTAATTGGGGGTGGAAAATGAACAAGCTTTCTATCAATGCAGAAGATTTCTTCAGACTTTAGGCTCATGACAACAACAGAAAGTGCGGCCAATGTATGAATAGTAATATATTAAAGTTCTTAACTTTATTACTTGATTCCCTGCTCTGTTTTGCCTGTCAAATGTCTGTGTAATATAAAGGGATGCAACAGTTAGAAATAATGCCAGTCGGATAACTGTGTATGCTTATCTGAACCAAACCGGATAACTATGTTTCTTGTGCCATGAAATACAGCCAACAATGGCCCTTTATTTAGATAAAATTATGATTACTTCATTCACTTAATGCATTATTAATAAAGATAAATAAATACTTATGCCGTGAAAATACTGTTGTAAAACCTTGCAAATTCTCAAAATCTTTTTGAATTGGCTACATATTGCAAGCCTCCCTCTAGGAAATGTTGCTAGTTTCACTTTACACTCGTGTGTTGTCAACGCTGTGTGCACATATTTCTGTGCTTCACTTCAGGTCGGAACATAGACGATAGCTGCTGCTAAATGATAAGTTACATGATTCAACAGAATGTCAGTAGATGTTATGTGATGTTTACATTCAAAGTTTATTTTATACATGCACTCAATGGTATAGCAAGTATACTGATCATGAGTGTTTTCAAGGTCTGTCAAACGGCAGTCAGGAGCAACATTTCTGACCAGGAAAATCGATAAATATTGACCTACATTTTGGGATGGTTTTGGGGTACGTAGATTTGCTAACTGGATAGTACTCGCAACCGAACTGCAACCGAATACTTGATTACCCGTTCCAGCCCTAGTAATATATACCAGCTACTGATAGGCAACAAAACATTAAATATCTAATTAATATATAAATATCATTGGAAACACCAACATAATCTAAAATGAAACCTTAATTATTTTACAGTTACGAGAGATGTCCAAAATGGTGAACACCATTGCTGAAGACCGAGAGTGGATGCAATCTGTTAGTCCCAAAAAATGTGAAACCTCATCGCCGAAAAAGAGAGATTCGCCATACAAGTTAGAAATTAGTCCCAGGAGAATGGAGCTCTCCCCCCGTAAAAGTATAGACAATCCAGTGAAGATACCAGAAGGTGGAACTCCGTTTTCTAGCCGTGAATCGTCGCCGCAACGTTCCCCTAAAAAGGAAGATGAGACCTCCCAAGATGAAAGTGTAGAAAATTTAATTGAGCAGACAGTGGACAAAAAGGATAATAAACTGAAACGGAAAGACGATAGCCCTAATGATGATAGTCCCGCACCTAAGAGAAGGGTAGGTGTAGTAAACAATGATAGTCCCGCACCCAAGAGAAGGGTAGGTGTAGTAAAATGCCAAATTGCATCAAAGCTTTGTTTTTCTTCCTGTTACCAGCTGTATACATGTCATATGGGTTGGTCACTCTCCAACTGGATTTCTTTCAAACTTAGTAAGAACCATCCTGGGTGACAAAGGATATCAAATTGTAAAATTGAGGTTCCTGTCCCTACCCAAGGGGCAAGGGCAGGGCCCCAAAGGCAAAGTTTATCACTATTTGAGAAATCATCTTTCTCCAAACTTAAATTTACAAAAATCGAATATTCTTCAAAAAGATGGAAAGGTCCCGAGGTGCTTTAACTGATTGTTGATTTCATTATCCCCGGATCATCCTTTCTCTCAGGGAAAGGGGATAAAGTTTACCGTAGTTTATAATGAGAAATAACACCTTGGCTATATTTTGTCCATTTTCAGCAAGAAATATTTCAAACACGGTTGGGGTAAATATGATGGGATAGCAATTTGAGGGTATGAGAAAGTAAGATCCTGGCTAATGGTCACCCCTGGTGACGAAGGGGCATGGTTGAAGTCAGGAAAAATTCCAAAAAATCTTTTCCACACTTAGGTGTAAAAAAAATCAAATGCTCTTAATAGACAAAAAAGGCCCTTGGGTGCTTTATCTCAATTGTAAATTTCATTAGCCCTGGGTTATTTGTTTTCCCATAGGGAGGGAGTAATGTTTACATTAATTTAGATAAGCAAATTACACTTTTGGCTATTTTTTGTCCATTTTCAGCAGGGAATAATTCAAACTTGGTTGAAATGAATATGATTGGATGGCAATTAGATCACATAAAAAAGTAAGATCCTGAACCACCTCACCTCTGGGTTCAGAGGGATGGGCAAAAAGTGGGAAATTGTCTTTACTATCAAATATACTTGTGCACTCTCCGATGTGCTAAAAGCCCCCCTGCTCTTTAATTTTTAGGTCACCTGAACTTTGCTCAAGTGACCTATTCTAATCGCTTTCTGTCCATCGTCATCGTCTGTTGTGCGTAAACTTTTTACATCTTCACTTTCTCAAGAACCAGTGGATGGATTTTTTTCAAACTTAATCAGAATCATCCTTGGTAGATGAGGCTACTACAGTTTAAAATTGGGATTCCTACCCCAACCCCTGGGGCCAGGGTGGGGCCCCAAAGGGAATATTTACCAATATTTTAAAATTCTTATCCTTTGATGACATGACAAGATTGTATTTCACTTAGTTTACATGCTGATTTCCACATCACAATAAACAATAAAATAAAGCTACCAGTACCTATGATATAACTCGGGTGACCGCTAAGGCCCTTGGGCCTCTTGCATTAAAGGTGGTGACCCACCATACATATTTAACATGAATTTGGACAGGTGTCTACCCCTTAGTTGTAACATGGTAACATTGTTTAATTACCTGTTTGCTTGCAGCCTGGACGGCCACCAGCAAAGAAACGTAAGCTGCTGGACCCTGAGAATGAAAATAACAGCTCAAGTAGTAAGAAGTGTCGGAGAGAAAGTGGTCGTGGTGACAGACAGACAGACGGTAGGCTATCTTTCTGGCTATCCTACCTTTCAGTACGGCAGCATTGTAACATATGTGTGACTTCAGTAGCATGTCATTAAATCCTCTAAACATGTAAGGATCCTAGATTTATTTCACTAATATACACGGATGTCCTGAGCTTTTACTAAATGTTCCTTTCATACAGGTATAGATGTCCTGAGATTTACTCTAAATGTGTCTTTCATACAGGTATAGATATCCTGAGATTTACTCTAAATGTGTCTTTCATACAGGTATAGATATCCTGAGATTTACTCTAAATGTGTCTTTCATACAGGTATAGATATCCTGAGATTTACTCTAAATGTGTCTTTCATACAGGTATAGATATCCTGAGATTTACTCTAAATGTGTCTTTCATACAGGTATAGATATCCTGAGATTTACTCTAAATGTGTCTTTCATACAGGTATAGATATCCTGAGATTTACTCTAAATGTGTCTTTCATACAGGTATAGATATCCTGAGATTTACTCTAAATGTGTCTTTCATACAGGTATAGATATCCTGAGATTTACTCTAAATGTGTCTTTCATACAGGTATAGATATCCTGAGATTTACTCTAAATGTGTCTTTCATACAGGTATAGATATTCTGAGCTTGCCTGATAATGCTATGGAGTTCTCTTCTGTGTCCACCGGGCTCTACAAGAGCCACATGCCACGGGAGAAAATGAATGGTCAATCAGATACCCAACTCGAGTCGGTGCCAGAGGAGGATGAGAAAGAGGAGAAAGTTCCAACTCTAAAACAACGCCGCTCTCGTCAAGGTTGGCCGAAGGGGGTTCCCCGTGGTTCACCGGTCAAGAAAGTCAAGAAAACGCGGGGCAGGCCCCCAAAGGTAATCAATAGATTAAGGGATATTTAGATATAAAGATATCTACATTCATAGAGTGAAAGTGTAGGAATTCAAAATTTCAATTTATTCATAATGCATTTCATGTCACAAGGTAGCTATTATTATGTCTCCCCTTCGAGTGAAGGGAGAAATATTGTGTTAGTACTGGTTCTTATTTTTCTGGTTCTGGTTCTTCTGGTTCTTCTAATTGCAACTTGTCCGGGCCATAAACCGTTAAAGATATCTTGATGAAACTTCAGGTATGCATGCATCACCCACAGAAGGTGTGCAGTGCACTGGAGTTAGATCACTGTTACCTTCACCTCAAGGTCAACGGTCAAATAAGTGCATCATTTTCAACAAATTCTTGTCTGGCTCGTAAATTTTGAACTGCTTAAGATATTTTGATGAAACTTGAAGTATACCTGCATCACCCACAGAAGGTGTGCAGTGGACTGGAATCAGGTCTTGTTCTCCACTATATACAGAGTGATTGCCCTTTATTTATTATTAATACCAAAGTTTGTCCGGAGCATAAGTTCCATGTTTTTTCACCTACAGTGACCAAACTTACCATATTTATGTATCTTTGGAAGGCGAAATCTCTCGCACTGAAGTCCGGTTTTGTGCCCCACTATATACAGAATAATGGCCCTTTGTTTATTTTTTAAATCAAAGTTTGTTCACGGCATAACTTCTAAACCGTTAAAGATATCTTAATCAAACTTGAAGTATACCTGCTGCACCCACAGAAGGTGTGCAGTACACTGGAATTTGATCTTGTGCCCCACTCTATACAGAGTTGTTGCCCTTTGTTTATTTTTAATACCAAAGTTTGTCCGGAGCAAAAGTTCCATATTATTTCACCTACGTTGACCAAACTTGCCGTATTTATGTAGTTTGGGAAGGCGGAACCTCTCACACTAAGATCAGGTCCTGTGCCCCACTATATATAGAGAAATGGTCCTTTGTTTATTTTTGATATCGAAGTTTGTCCATGGCATAACTTCCATGATATATCTCCTATGTTGACTAAACTTGCTGTAGTTATGTGTATTGGGAAGTAGGAGTGTCACATTCTAAATTCAGGTCTCGTGCCCCACTATATTTATCGAGATATGTCCCTTCTTTAATTTTTTATACCGAAGTTTGTCTTTTGGCTAATAAGGGGAGACGTATGCTTTTGTTCACAAAAACAAGTTTTTTGTTTAACATCGAGTTCCTGATCATTTAGGGGGGAAAACTCCTTTAAAAAAGTCATATTCGCTTTATTTACAACAAGCAAATTGTTTTTTCAATATTTTTAGTGCTTTATTTATTGTTTATTTTATCACTGACTATTTTCTGTAAAAAGAAATCGGAAACTTTTTGTAGTCCTCTACCATAGTTTGTTTACTATTTTCAGTGCAATTACCGCTCACTGGCCGATACAAAGGATGACAGTACAGACAACGCTGGTGACACTGACAATGATGTAGAGGGAAGAACTGGCAAGGGAGGAGGAGATCATTGTGTAAACAGACAAACAGTTAGTCCTGTTACTAAGGACTCCTCTAAGGAGGAGATGACGCAGGAATTACTGAAGGAATCATCGAAAGAGTTGTCTCAGGAGTCGGCCAACTTATCCTCAACAGAGGAAGCTGTCAGTCACATTCTGTCGGAGTCGGAGGACGTGCCCACTAAGTTATTTGGTGATGTTACCAATGATAATGACTGTGATAACAGTGTTAGGAATACAAATCTTAAGTCGGATGACGACCTTGACAAGAATGAGGATTCGGCGGATGATTCGGATGATGACAGTGACAGTGTGGAGAACAGTCGCGAGATTGAGGAGGCCGTCCATGCCCTTCAGGAGGCAGAACAGAACCAGGAACCTGAAGAGGGCGGAAATGACTCTGGTGATGAGGGTAGTAATGGAAGCCCAGGGGATGTGGAGATGAAGGCGGATAGTCCTGAGCAGGAACGGGAACGGATGACCCCAGATCCACTGCCTGTCCATGAACCAAGTCCCGCCCCTCAGCCAGCCATGACAGACTGTGTATCAGACACTAATAGTGATGTGCCCGCCCCTCTCACCCCCCAGGTCCCTACACCACCCCAAGTGGTAGAGGGGTTAACACCAGAGTGTACCCCACCTGTCGAGGAACAGACCACACCCACATCTATCCCACAAGTAGAGACCCTGCCAGTGACAGAGCCTAAACCTGTGGACACCACACCACAGAAAACCCCTGCATTGATAGATACTGATGATGTAGACTCGGCTTTGGAGGATGAGAATTCATCCGATGATGACATTCCAAGTGATGACAACTATACAGGACAATACTGTGATTCTCCTGTGAGAGAGACTCTCAATACTTCACAAAACTTTCAGGAAACTTTCACTGAGGAGTTGCGTACAAACTTTGACCGTGGTCCAGCTAGTAACATGTCTGGTCATGCAAGTAATATGTCGGGACCAGCAAGTAACATGTCTGTGACAGGACCAGCTAGCAACATGTCTGTGACAGGACCGGCTAGCAACATGTCAGTGACGGGACCGGCTAGTAATATGTCTGTAACGGGACCAGCAAGTAACATGTCTGTGACAGGACCGGCTAGTAACATGTCTGTAACGGGACCAGCAAGCAATATGTCTGGTCCGGCAAGTAATTTGTCATCAACTACTGATCAAATAGCACAGAGAGACCCTATGAACATGGGATGTGTGGAAACTCCCCCAGCTGCGACTGTGTCTGCCCCATCAGCCCCTCCTCCTGCCCCAACACAGGCTCCCCCTGCCCAACCTCCAACCCCAGCCCAGCCCCCAGTTCCACCTCCTGCTCAACAAACACATCCAAATCAAAACTGTGGCAATGTACAGAGCATCTATCCTTCACAAAACAATACTATTAATAACATTCCGAATGCCAACATGGCCTCGAACAACTACGCAAATGTAGACATCGATGTCGCCCAACTTGGATTGGAGTCGCCCACGTCCATCAGCAGTACAGAGATGACCAATCCAAACATGGGCGGGGACCCAGTGGGCAATTACTATGACTGTGCTCAGACACAGCAGATGTACATAAACAACATGATGGCCAGTGGCCGCTACATGGACATGGTCAACTCTCCTCACCCGGTCAGCTGTTCGTCCAGTGCTGGTGGTAACTATATGCAGTCTGGACCTGCCAACACCATGCCTAGCTACTGTCCACCACCACCTGTGTCCTCTTATGCGTCAGTGCTATTACAACCAAACAACACGCATAGGCTTACCCACAACAACACACCATGTTCCGTCCCTGTGGGGCGTCAGTTCGCGGGCCAGAACCAAGGAGGACCAAATCAGAACAATTCAAGTTGTAGTATCGCTAAACTACAACAGCTCACAAACGGGTTAGTTGACATTAATATGCCAGACAACACCATGACTCCTCCCCCAAACCTCACACCCCCACCCCCTGTGAATATGACGCCTCCCCCATCCATGATCAGGAACATGGCCACCCCACCCATATCGAACCTGCAGGCCCAGAATTCGTCGTCGCTTGTGCCTCAGTACAAACAGTACCAAAGACAAAGATCCTCATCTACGTCTGTGAGGAAAAGTCCCAATGTGACAGTTAACCCCAATATGCCCCCTTTTACACCCAATGTGACGATTCGCCCAGGCTCCAACATGATCACTGGCTATAACATGCTGGACAGCTATCGCATGCGTCAGCCCATGCTCAATCCAGGCTATATCAACCATGCTGGGTTCATTAATCAGCTCGGCCAGACGTCGCAGCTGCCCATGCAAATGTTGAATATGAATATGAACATGAACCCTGCAGCGCACCAACAATTCCAGCAGCACATGCAAGCGCCACAGTCCAATAACTCGTACCCTGCGTATGGTTACATGACCGCACCCACGCTTAACATGAATGGAATGATGCGCAGGTAGCACCCACTAACTTGCTCCTACAACATATCTCATACTGCAAAGGTCTTTATTTTTGGTGGCTCTCATTCCCTCTTTTTTCATGGTCGTCATTATTTTTTTCTAAGCATGGAATAATTTTGACATTTCAATGACGTTAATATTCATTTGAAGACGGCAAGAAAAAAATGACCCCACGAACAGTAAACAGTTTGTGAAAATGTGAAAAATTTGAACCATCAAAAATGGAGTACATTTACAGTAATCTATCATATTGTATTATGTGATCACCTCTTTCCATGCAAATATTAAAGTAATATAAGTACTGCCTTTGTAAATACTTTTCTTAAAGTTATTTGTACATTTTTTGTTTGTAAGTCATTATTATTATTAACTCTATTACATGATATATATGAATTATATATATATAGATTTATGTCCAGAATCATCATCGCTCTTTCACTGTCATTTCCAGAGGACTAGAATCCAGTCCTTGTAGTGTGTTTCATTAATGTTGATGATGTGAGTTCGAACTGTGGTGATCACACTCTCATTGTTAGTGCTGTCCCTGCTTGAAAGAAAAGAGCTCAACTTTTTAAGTTCATTGTTTGAAATCCTGGTGTCAGATTAAGTTTTGAAATTTTAGTGCAATTGTTTGCTATTCTCAACTATAACAATAAATGGAAAGTTTTACTTCAGATAAGTTCAATGCAGAGTAAAAAGTATGTTTGAAAGAGTTCTTATTCAATTCTAAATATTAAATAATTTTCTGAGAAGGGATGATACCTATAGTTCTGAGGGAGGACACAAGTAATCTGAAGCATGTTCTGTTTCTGGATCAATAGTTTCCCACAGAGTGATAAACAGCCAATGATGCAGTAAACTTGACAATGAAAGGAGTGACATCAACAGCTTGTTATTTGTGATCATTTCCAATTCTCCTTGTGACATGGTGCATCGTCACAGGATTTGTGTTTTTTTTTTGTACATGTGTGAGACATGTGTGATCTTTGTCCTGTTTATAAACTTTTTTTCTCAGGTATTCCTGTTAGACCTGTAATCAGGGGGTGTAAAGTATGTGTCGGTGCGTGTGTGTAAGTTAGTGAACAGTTAGGAACATAGGCCAGTTCAAGCAGGGAAACAAATTTACATTACAACCTTTTGGATGTGGTTAATTAAGATTGCATGCACTGCTCCTATAAGCATTGCATTGATTGAAGAATTTTAACCAAATTTTGTTGGGAGCATCTTCAGGCCAAAGGGGAACTGGATATTGCATAAATGGAAGGGTGAGGCAAACTAAATCTTAAAAAATCAATTTCTCTCTCGCTACAAAGTGAGGGATTTAAACCAAATTTGGTCAAGAGAACTCAAGGTTGTATAAATTGAGTATGTCAACCTCTTAGGGGCAGAGGGGCTGGGCCCAATATGGGTAAGTCTTTGACAAATCCTTATCCTCAAAATGGAGGGATTTTAACAATGTTTGTTTTATAGTTTGCCAAGTGGACTAAATGTTATATAAATGGAGGGTGAGCTCCTGTTGGACAGAGACAGGACCCAGTGGGTGAAATTGGATCATAACTTGAAAAACGTCTCGATTTCTACCCTATATCCATATCTAACCATATAGGTGGTGGTATCCAGTAGAGAAATAGGGTGGAAACACTTGAGGTTCCCACCCTATAGCCCGAGACTTACCTCATTACCATAACACGGATCAAATGTTGTATACAGGAAGAGTGTGAGAGACAGAACCAAAAATTGAAAATATCCGCAACTTCATATTTCATGAGAATATTTTGCAGTGATTGCTTAAATATCAAAGTGAGCAATTTAGGCCCTGTGAGCCTCTTGTTCTACCAATGTCTGTAACAGATCTAAAATAAGGATTGTAGAAGTTGTGGCATTGGTATACATGGCTGCATGACCATTTTTTGAATAACATTTTTTTTCTACTTGGGGACACCATTCTTTTTTATATTGATTACAAACCTTTGAACCATGAAGATGCAGTAGGATGAATTCATTCGCCTAAGAGATGTATTTATGAACCTAGTTTTTTGCTTCTTTCCATCTTTCAGCCATTCTTTGGTTTTCTGAAGAGTTTCCTGTTTATTCTGGCTGTCCTGGAGTAACGGTTCCAGAGAGTTTGTATTTGGCGGAGTTTCCTCCCTTTGTTATTTCTTGGTTTTGTATGGAAGTGTTATCGGTAGTATACACCGGGTTGTGTCGAACGGTCGGAGGGATCTTGTGTGCGAGATGAGATGTAGCTGGGCCGAGTTGATGTCCGACAGTTTTCAGAATGTTTAACATGACCTGTAGACTTGTCAACAGGATGTGCCCAGTGTATGGTATACTACTATTGATCATTACATCCATGCATGTCCCGACAATAACCAGGTCAGGATATAGATGTGGTCACTATTCCTCTGGTGGTTAAACAACTTTCACTGCTCTTCTTGGATGGGGAAGTTCCTTCTGGTTTTATAATTTTTATAATTGTGATGCACCTTAATTCCTTATTTGTCTTGAGTACAATAATTTCTTGCATACCAAAATCTTTTTCATGTACAGTTCCACTCTATTTTTCAAAAAAGTGAAAGCTGTTTTACTTGTATGGAAAGCCGTCTGATTTAAGAAGAAAAAATCCTGGTACATTTTTTGGTGGCATTGTGGAAAAGCTATGAAAACTTGTGTTGAGTGTCCCAATACAATGCTTACCATATGGTGTGTTGGCGGGACCAGCATTGGACTATTCTCCTGTTTAATGAAGGTCTGTTGTATATTGTATTATGGACGCCTGACCAGGTCAGTGTGCATTACTACACTGTTGTGTTATTTTTACTTGTTTGAAATGTACCAGTGTTTAAATTGATTGATATAGGGCGTTTTGTTGTTGATATGTGTCTTAGAATTCCAGTTTGTTTTATAAGCAGTAGTTGAATCTCATCCCCAGTTGATTACCTCTTTTGTTTAGGACAGCTGTATATACGGTTAAAATTAGCTCGGTTTTATATGGTGGTATGTGAAGTGAAGGTTAAAACTGATATAAGTTAGTTTGAAGTCGGTATAGAAGTTTCTCATTTAAACTAATGTAAAACTAAAAAGTCAATGGTGATCTTTAGTTTTCAAAGATTTTGGTTTTTGATTCAGAGAGCCAGGCTATTTACTTGTTAAAGATGCAGGGATATTTGTTTTTCATACTATTAAATGGACACACGGTCTACAATCTATGCATTGTGTTTCCTCTAGACAATTTCAGCACTAAATATTGGCGTGGGGTATGGCTTTGTTGGCGAATGTTCCCTCTCAGTATGCAAGTATGTCGCCAACATTGCAGTTTTTATAGATATGCATAGAAAAGGTAAAAAAATGGTAGATTTTTCTGTGATATTTCTTGCTCCTTGTGTTAAAAAGTCTGAATCCCTTCACTGCAGGTAATGTCCTATATTTGATAAGGAGTAACCGTGTGGGATATTTCTGTCCAACATCAGGCAGTTTAACTAAACATTTGATAGATAACAGTTAAAATTGTGTCACATTGGTATTGCATACCTGAGCATATTGGAGAAATCTGGGCCTATTCACCCATGTCAGTTCTCTGTGTCTTATGTTTTAAACAAATCTTCAATTTAAAATATAGGAGAAAATTGTTGTTCATGGAAATATCACCTCCATGTTCTTAATTTCAAGTTGGAATAAAACAAGCTTTGTTCTTGACATCGAAGTACTAACACTTGGACTATCCCGATCTGTAATCTATTAACAGCACTTCTGTGTGCAGTGCCCTGGATATTATTTTAAAACTTCTTCCATTGTGATCAAGTTTGACTGTGTAATCAAGGCAGTATCTAGAATTCTTAAGGAAACCATCCATTTCATTAATGTATATCCGATTTCATTCTTTTTCTGTTTGTAATTAAAACTTTTAAGTAGAAATTGAAAGCCTTCACACTTTATAATAAAAATATCAACTACTTATGTCAGGAATCTTGTGCAATAACCTGTATATTAAAATCTCAAATGCCATTAGAAATATTATATGTAAATACTTATGGTAAATTATGAAAAAGTCATTATAATCCAACCAGCAAAAAACTAGTTGTTCACTGCAGAATCTGGTACTTGCCATGTATGGATGAGTGTTTTATGAATGTTTTTATCGTTCAGACTGTTAGTTTGTTATTTAAGAGTGAAATTGGGTGGAGTTGTGTGTGTACGGGGAGGAGTCATGTGTGTTGTGGGTGGAATTAGTGTGATGTAGGAGGGCTTACATATGATTGACAGGTTTATAGAAATGCACGTGATTTAGGATCTAAGTTTTCGGTTATGTAATGTGGGTGACTTTGAGAATGTGTTACATGTCTGGTAGCAGACAAGTGCTTTGAAGAATTGGTTGTCTTTCGTTCTGTTGTAACAAGTGCAAGTATTATAATATTACTGGTGTTCATTCATCTTATCAGCTGGGCAACTTGTCAGGTGCCACTCTGGTAAGCGTCAGAATATTTGTTATATTTTTGTCTAGAATGTATATATGTGATGCCATCAATTTGTGGATTGTGCATTTTAAAACATACAAAAAAAGTTAACAATAAATTATGATCTTTTTTCAGAACTGAAAATTATTTTGTTTTGATTTATTTTTTACTTCACCTGCCGGCAACTTTTACAAAGAAACACATCGCTAGTTTACTTTGCTGGTGAGTTCCAGTTGATGAAACCTGAGATGTATCTATATGGTCTTTGTTTGTAGTTGGTAATTAGATTTCACTGTGTTATGATAAAACTACTAGTGAAAGGTGATAAAGGGAGTTAACTCTTACTTCCAGTTGTAGTTGTCGGGTAGCCTCATCCCTGGTAGATTTCCATAAGCTTACACATTGTAACCTTGTCATTAATTAATCTACATAGTCCAGATTGATGAGCTAAAAATACCAGCAAAATATACATAGTCCAGATTGAGGAGCTCAAAATACCAGCAAAATCTACATACTCCAGATTGATGAGCTCAAAATACCAGCAAAATGATAGACTACCTGTAATTACTATGGGACTCCAGGGTAATAGCATACTTTATAAAGTTGTCGACTTCACTGACATGCACCAAAAATTAACGTCAACATTTGGTAACCATGGTACCCCATGTCTCAATGCCACGATATAAGTAACAACTTGGCCCGCTGTCATCAGATGGTGGGCTGTTCAAATAATCCTTCGAAAACCAATTCTTGTTATTGCTATTTCTCAACAAGTCCTGGACAGATCCACCGACCTTAATGGTCAAGGCGTGATTAACATATCTTTATTGAAACTTGTAAGTAGGTTCCTCTTAAGTCTTTTGTTTTTGCATGTTGAATATGAAGGTTGGTCAGAAAAAGCATGCCGGCCAAAGGCAGCCATTTTCAATTTTCATCAATTTGGTAAAGTTTTTATCACTATTTCTCAAGAAGTGAAAGGTCTAGAGTCATAATACCCTAGTAGCTCATTGGGATGGAAATAACAAAGTTTGCAAAATATATTATCTTGACCTACTTTCAAGGTCATAGGGGTCAATTATTTAAAAACCTCTTCAACAGTTTCTTGCCTAGAAACCTAGAGTGGTGATACTGTATCAGTGCTGTGCCGTGGCGCATCTTCCATTGTCCGTCAATCGATGTTTCATTTAAAACTCGACTAACATGTTAACCCTGACTAGATTTGGCCTGGAGTATCCTTCGGCAAAAGGAATTCAATTTTGTATAAATGGAGAGTGTTGTCCTAGGGACAGAGGGGATGGGGCCCAATTAGGGAAACGGGGTAAACACACGTGGAGGAATTTTAACCGAATTTGACGGAGAGCATCCTAGGGCTAAGGGGACTTAATTTTGTATGAACGAGTTCCTGGATAAACTTTACTTCGAACAACTTTTAAACGCTACAAGGGTTAAAAATGTAAATAAGTCTGACTTCTTGATGACAAAAAAGTTTCAGGTAAAATATTTAACCGTTAGTATATATAGGGACGGTGTACTCTCAATTTTCCTCAAATACATCCTTAAATTACCTTGGCTGTAAATAGGACGTTACACAAAATTAAACCAACCCTCAAATAAATGATCTGACATAATTTCAAGGTCACAAGGGTCAAATCGAATAATAATAATATGTATTCGGTAAAAGCATGATACAGGTACAAATATCACATATGATCACAGATTTCGATTGCATAATAATCACAGATTTATCACAGTACTTAGATTATCACAATGACATCAATGTTAATATCACAAATTTTGGAGCACTATAAATACAATGTATCTGCATGTCCCATGAAAGCTGGGTGGCAGCTTATTTCCAATGGGGTCCTCTAGTAAAGATCTTAATTACTTAGACAACAATAGGTCCTAAGAATTTGACAATATAAGATGGTATAATTTCTCGTAATAATATATATATGAATAGAATAAGTTGTATTAACTGGTCAAATATGATGATGTTATATTATTTCATCAAAATAAGATGTTATATTATTTGACAGTTTAAGATGGAGTTGTGTTTTACGTATCATTAGAAAATAAGATTGCCTTCTAATAATATATATATATAGGTGGGGCTGTGCAGGATGTTATTTCCACTTGTAATATTAAAATAACAATTATATGTACTACTGTACATACCACAATGCAAGATGATGTCATTCTTGCAGATATTTTGTAACAATATAAGATGGTGTTGGGCCATATACATTTATACTGTGTTACCTGTGTGTAGAACAAACAACAGGTGGTTGGGCCAATCCCTACCAACCTATTATCTGTCTATCAAATTATAACAAATTGGGGTATACTACATATATAAAAATGATTTATTAATAAACTAAAGACTGAGGATGATGGTAATAAAATCTTCCGCAACATTTTAAAAAAATACATATTGAATTGGTAGTCACTAAAAATAGGTTAACTGGAACAAAATTACAGCCTCATTTGAATGAGATTGAAATTAAACATTGCAAAGTAGTACTTTAGTTAAAATTTTAGTAATACATGTTAGAAGAAGTTTAGAGTCGCCCACTAGGATAGAATAAAAATTACCTTTAAAAGATGAATTCTTGCTCAAAATCAGTTTTTGCCAAATCTTGTAAGTACTTTCTTATCTCGCTTTTGAATTTCATCTTGTGATCTATAGATTTTATTGAATGTGGCAAGTTATTCCAATCTTTGATAGCATTATAGAGAAATGATGACGATTCCACACCTTTAATATAAGGAATGTTGAAATTCAGATCACTGTTCCTGGTAAAGTGGCTTTTTCTCTCTGTTCTAGTAAAATATTCTTTCATATAGGATGGACATTTGCATGGAATTGTTATGTTAAATATTAAAGACATGGTTAAAACGGAGCTGTTTCACCCTGCCCCCAACATCCAACATATTAGCTATATGCCTGTAAAATATTTGACATCTTAGTTTAAAATAGCGTGACCGTTTATTATCCCTACATTTATATCGAGTCGAATTCCTTTACCGATTCGACAGCTGTTAGGTTTACATATTAACTGTAGTAGAATCATTCTATTTCACAATAGTCAGTAAAATTCTCAAAACGGCATAAGTACAATCTTCGCATCAACGTCCATGACGCATACTGCTACCAATATAAGATATGGAGTGGTTCAGAGATCGGCTTTATCAAAACCACGAAATATTTCTGGCGTGCGCTTTGGCAAATCCCAATTTACTCACGTATCTAAATTGTGACGAGCCTGGAACTTAGGTATAAATACTAGAAGGACTTGCGATAAGCCCTTATCTACTTGTAGACGACACTTGCTTTCGGACAGTGACCCACCAATAATGAAGACAAAGCGGATACTCGACGTCATATCGACCTTACTCTGCATTTGTATCGTTAATGCAGGTATGTGTTTAATCCTTTTTATAAGAAAAATAACATAAAAAATTGTCATCGCAATCCTAGCTAGCTGACGATTTGATTTTAGATCTACCAGAATTGTTATGATTCTACAGGATTGATGGCCTGTGATGGTTTCGCGTCAGAACCTTCCCTGTTACTTGGCCGCCTGTATGAGGTACATCGTGGTCACTAAATTCCTGTCTGTTGTGTTAAGAATGATTCTTAAGACCAAAGAGTTGTAAGGATATTATATTAACGTTCTTCCCTGTTTATTGAGTTTCCGTGGCACAGTGGTTTTTGTATGTCATGGCATGTTTGACACAGGTAACGCTTTACCTCCCGGACCTTCTGGTTTTGCCGCCTTCATCTTGTGATTTGGCGTTTCTTTGTAATCTGTCTTCTCTATCTTAATTACATTATAAAACAGATTTGTTTTTTAAATGATTTGCGATTAGGGTAAGGGTACCAACAAGTCGGACCATTGTCACTATTGCGAAATAAACAAACACCTCACGTATGTTACCATTAACATTGATACGAGTTTACAGCATCAAAATGACTTTCCGCTTTATGGACTGAAAAACCTTTAAAATAAGTTCGACAGGGGAAGTTACTCTAAGCAAGAAAAAACTCAGTCGAAAAAAGTCTTGAATGGAACTCTCCTTTGCGATTCGGGCGTACTCTTTACCTTTAAGTTTAATGAGAAAACATACGCTTAAGAAATTTTAAAAAGGTGTTATAATCAAACACTACTTATAATTTATGATTCAAAATTTTGTTCTATATAGCCAGGCTTTCTGATTGCACAGGTTCTATTTATATAGATCGGAACCTATTTGAACAAAAATAATCATCAAATAATATACAACGTCAACACGCTGGTAAAAATATACCATAGAGTACTTTTGATATACAAAGGAATCTGTAAAACAGAATCTGTCCAATCTGGATGTTTGTTTAAACCGTGCCGCTCTTGTTACCCCCTGGCAGTGGTCGGACGGAATAGCTCTACGTTCTACGAAGTCTCTGGCCCCTGTGAGTAGCATCGGTTATGGTCAGTGACGTAACACATCTCGTCATACGAGTAATAAGCTGGCGGTGTGTAAGATGCGTTGCGGCTAAAAAACTCACCAGAAGGTCTGCGTAATAGGATGTTTATGACATTGTTAGCGCGGATTTTTTTTGCGACCTTTCAGATAAAATACTGTTAAGATGAAGTATGAAAATTGAAAGTGGCTAATATTGAAAACACACCAGAGATATATATATTCGTTATTTGTTTTTGGCCGAATGTTGTTGATGTTTTGCTAATTTTCATATCTATAAAGTAAAATAAGCAGACCTTTCTAGATGAACTGGAAGGTACATTTCGTATAATGATATATACTAAAGTATTTTAATCTACAGAGTGTTGTTTAAGAAATGTACTAAACATTGCATGTAATTGTAGCATAACGATAGCTGTAGAGTTGTGTAGCTATAGCGGTGTACTGTAATATATAAGTTGTGGAGTTATCGTTTCATTAAGTAATGTTACAACCGGTGTTCCGAATAGCAAAATCAGCTACCAATCAAAAGATAGCCAAACCACAACACTAACTTAATGTCAGACAAACACAAGAAGTGAATCTCGGTGTACTGTCAATGATATCACGGTGTACTGTCAATATTCTAGGACAAAGATATCACGGAGTACTGTCAATATCCTAGGACAAAGATATAACGGTGTACTGTCAATATCCTAGGACAAATATATCACGGTGTACTGTCACTATCATAGGCCAAAGATATCACGGTGCACTGTCAATATTCTAGGACAAATATATCACGGTGTACTGTCAATATCATAGGAGAAAGATATCACGGTGTACTGTCAATATTCTGGGGCACAGATATCACGGGGTACTGTAAATATTCTAGGACAAAGATATCACGGTGTACTCTAGGACATCCTCAATATTCTAGGACAAAGATATCACGGTGCCCTGTCAATATTCTAGGACAAAGATATCACGATGTACTGTCAATATCATAGGACAAAGATATCTCGGTGTACTGTCAATATCCTAGGACAAATATATCACGGTGTACTGTCCATATCATAGGACAAAGATATCACGGTGTACTGTCAATCTTCTAGGACAAAGATATCACGGTGTACTGTAAATATTCTAGGACAAAGATATCACGGTGTAGTGTCAATATTCTAGGACAAAGATATCACGGAGTACTGTCAATATCCTAGGACAAAGATATCACGATGTACTGTCAATATCATAGGACAAAGATATCACGGAGTACTGTCAATATTCTAGGACAAAGATATCTCGGTGTACTGTCAATATCCTAGGACAAATATATCACGGTGTACTGTCCATATCATAGGACAAAGATATCACGGTGTACTGTCATTATCATAGGACAAAGATATAACGGTGTACTGTCAATATCCTAGGACAAATATATCACGGTGTACTGTCAATATCATAGGACACAGATATCACGGTGTACTGTCAATATTCTAGACAAAAATATCACGGTGTACTGTCAATTTCATAGGACACAGATATCACGGTGTACTGTCAATATTCTAGGACACAGATATCACGGTGTACTGTAAATATTCTAGGACAAAGATATCACGGTGTAATGTCAATATCCTAGGACAAAGATATCACGGTGTCCTGTCAATATTCTAGGACAAAGATATCACGGAGTACTGTCAATATCCTAGGACAAAGATATAACGGTGTACTGTCAATATCCTAGGACAAAGATATCACGATGTACTGTCAATATTCTAGGACAAAGAGATCACGGTGTACTGTCAAAATGCCAGGATAAAGATATCACGGTGTACTGTAAATATTCTAGGACAAAGATATCACGGTGTAGTGTCAATATTCTAGGACAAAGATATCACGTTGTACTGTCAATATCATAGGACAAAGATATCTCGGTGTACTGTCAATATCATAGGACAAAGATATCTCGGTGTACTGTCAATATCCTAGGAAAAAGATATCACGGTGTACTGTCAATATTCTGGGGCACAGATATCACGGGGTACTGTAAATATTCTAGGACAAAGATATCACGGTGTACTGCCAATATTCTAGGACAAAGATATCACGGTGCCCTGTCAATATTCTAGGACAAAGATATCACGATGTACTGTCAATATCATAGGACAAAGATATCTCGGTGTACTGTCAATATCCTAGGAAAAAGATATCACGGTGTACTGTCAATATTCTGGGGCACAGATATCACGGGGTACTGTAAATATTCTAGGACAAAGATATCACGGTGTAGTGTCAATATTCTAGGACAAAGATATCACGTTGTACTGTCAATATCATAGGACAAAGATATCACGGGGTACTGTCAATATTCTAGGACACAGATATCACGGTCTACTGTAAATATTCTAGGACAAAGATATCACGGTGTAGTGTCAATATTCTAGGACAAAGATATCACGTTGTACTGTCAATATCATAGGACAAAGATATCACGGTGTCCTGTCAATATTCTAGACAAAAATATCACGGTGTACTGTCAATATCATAGGAGAAAGATATCACGGTGTACTGTCAATATTCTGGGGCACAGATATCACGGGGTACTGTAAATATTCTAGGACAAAGATATCACGGTGTCCTGTCAATATTCTAGACAAAAATATCACGGTGTACTGTCAATTTCATAGGACAAAGATATCACGTTGTACTGTCAATATCATAGGACAAAGATATCACGGTGTACTGTCAATATTCTAGGACACAGATATCACGGTGTACTGTAAATATTCTAGGACAAAGATATCACGGTGTACTGTCAATATTCTAGGACAAAGATATCACGGTGTACTCTAGGACATCCTTTTTTATGACTGCAATGTTAACCACTGTATTCCGACAGATTACAACACGGTTACAACAATAATTCTCAAAAAGTTACTGTCAGCTGGTCTATTGAAGGCAGGTTTACAACGCCGTAGTCACAAGAATCAAGTTAATCAACAAATTAGCCGATTGTTAAGTGGGCCGAAAAGTGTTATGTTGTTTTACGCAAACAGCTTGCACGCTTAGCAATGACATTCGTAACCGGCTTTGTTAGGTACAATATATAGCACAAGGTGACCCAAATTTAAGCTATCTTGTTCGTGAAGGTCATAAACTGTCCTTGTATTATTCTTATTGTGTAACGTTCTTATCCCTTATGTGAAAATAGCCTACGGGCGTAATGTTCACGTATTCAATTTCAGGAAGTAAAATTTCATCGGAGCCCTATAAGAACATTTTGGGGATTATCCGTGCCATTTCACTGATTCTGGATAGGTTAACACAATGCAGTTTCTACAAAATTCGAATTATGACTATCCAACACTAGGACTATATCGAAATTACGAGTTACCTCCCGTTGACTGATGAGCATGTGTACGGTTTTTCATTTAGCAGAAATATACAAGGACATAGAAAGACAAGGGTCCCTCCTCCTTCCATAATTCAGCTAATACTTTAGTGCGCTACACATGTGTTTTCGTTGTTTACATATTTTTGCTTCCCTTCTTCACCTTTCTCACCTTTGACCTATCCTGCCCTGACCCCGGTACCGTCTCTCCTCCCGAGTGCCCGACGACCATGGGTGATTGATTTAGCTCAATAGAGAGTGGCAGTCGGTTGTTTCTACCAACGTACACATGGTATATTAACTAAACAGCAGTTTTTATTTTATAATATTTACATTTGCATGGCATTGTCACTATATAGCCTCTTTGAAAGCTGTGTCGTTGATGGGACTTTAATTACCATGCATCACGAGACACAATTCTTAGCGTATTAATACAACACTGACCGGAACTACAATATCCAATATAAATAAACATGGTACGGCTGCTGAAATATCGCCGGGCATTGTGAGATTTGACAATATCATTGTAAATTTATGTGCAAAATAAAAAGTAAAATGAAAAACACTTTTATTACAACGAAAACAAGACCAAGGTCTGCAATATCGTACAAAATGCACATGGGTTGAAATCCCCAATGCTGGCAATGGAAACAATTTTAACGCTCATGCAATTTATCAGAAATGTCGTCTGTTACACTGCACTGGTCAACAGGGGTTCGTTACAAATGTCTGAAATAAACATATTCTATAGACCTACTGACACATATGTTACAGACCTACTGATATGAGTCACAGCACACATAAACATTTCAGACATTTGTAACGAACCTATGCTCCGTCGCAAGATCACCCACTTCAAACGCTATCAAGTTTCACGCGTCTCGCATCTACGGTTCCTCAGTTTAATTCTGACGACAGGTCAAATAACGAGGCTGTTATAGAATCTACCGACTGTTGTCAGGTCCACATACAATTAACAAATAAATTCACGTCTGGATTCTTCATAAAATGAGCAAAGAGAAAAGTTCGAATAAACTTCCAAAAATAACTCCCTCGTGGAGGGCAAGGTCGGATTTACGGTGTTCACTGTATTTGTCCATGCGCGAAATTTGCTCCGGGGGAAAATCGAAACAATTTAAAATCTAACTTTCAGCTCAGTGTTCTATTGATAAACTTAAATCATCCTATATACATATCATACGCAATTGTATTGACACTGAATTATGGAATAAAATTGAAGTGTTTGTTAAAATTTCAAAGTACTACTTTGTTTGCCAATCAGCACGCGACAATACGCTGTTCAAACTATTGAACGAAATTGTGTGGACTGTCGATAAGGCGGGCCTTTGTAATTTAAAATATAAATTATAAGTTAAAAAAGAAAATAAGAGGCAGAGAAAACGTAAATATAAGTATTGAACTGTTTGTATATGGTATTTATGATCTATTTGAATGACACAGCTTTGCAAGCAAACAATTCATAATGCGCTAGCGCGCATTATGTTGTTTGCTTGCAAAATCCCATACAAAAACTGTTCAATGCTTAATTCATATACAGGACATTGTCAAGGGCTGCAGGTTTGGTATGAGTTATATTTAGCCTGAACTCCTTTACGCTGTACATGTTACCCTATGTTGTACCGTGAAATTAAAATACACAGTCAATGTTTAATTACTTATTTTTCCTATGTAACGAAGCATATATGAAAATGTTTTAATATTGTATTAATACAACCCGATTTCTAAAACATCGGATAACTGTGTAATACTTTTATATCTCATCTCATACATGAAGCTGGAAATATTGAAATGACAAATTTAGGTAAAGCAACATCTTGAATGATTACCTAGGGTAGAGCTTAGGACGGTTCTCCACCATATCTGACATATACCTTTCTGATTAGATGACATTACAGACATTTTGAAATCCTTAAACAATCAGTCATAACATGTTAAAAAACACAGCACATACAGTAGCTTTTCCGTTATCATTGATATTTGGATCTTTTTGGAAACTGGAACCTTTCCAAAACCCTGGAAACAAGCGTTAGTCATGCCGTTATTTAAAAAAGTGGATAGATAAGATTCTGCCAATTATAGACCTATTTCATTACTTAGTACTGTTGGGAAAGTTTTTGAACGACTAGTTGTAAAATATATAAATAATTATTTATTAGAAAATTCATTGATATATAAATACCAATCGGGTTTTCAGTCTGGACATTCTACAGTACATCAATTGATTGAAATTTATCATTACTTGATGTGAAAATCTAGAAAAAAGACCCACATGTTTAGTTTTTTTGCGATATATCTAAAGCGTTCGATCGTGTGTGGCATAAGGGACTGGATGTAAAACTAGAAAATTATGGTATTTCGGGAAAATTGTTGAATTGGTTAAATATTAGACAACAACAGGTATTTGTTGGCGATACTAAGTTACATATAAAAACTACTAAAGCTGGTGTTCCACATGGTTCGGTTATAGGTCCTCTATTATTAATTCTCTATATTAATGATATTTCTGTTAATCTTGAAAGCCTATCCAAATTGTTTGCAGATGACACCTCTTTATTATGTTCGGAAGAAACTAAAATTAACAGTGACTTAGTTAAGATCCAAAATTGGGTGAATAAATGGTTAGTTAAATTCAACCCTGTAAAAAACGAAAACATTACTTATTTTAAATATAGAACTTGATTATGTTATAGATATTATTTTTAATAATGAAAGTGTTGACTTCGTGGATAATCATAGACACCTGGGATAAGTTCTGGATAATAATTGTAAATGGAGTAACCACATTGATAATATATGCCAAAACGGTTCAAAACAGGTAAGTGTACTGCGCAAACTAAAATATACATTAAATAGACCAACTCTCAATAAAATATACAGATCCTATATTCTTCCATTACTAGAATACTGTTGCGAGGTATGGGATGGGTGTACTCTCTGTGACGCGGACAAACCTGAAAAACTTCAACTTGAGCCTGCACGGATAATTACGGGTTTACCCTCTTATTCTAGCAGATGATCTTGTACTCTGAGAGCGGATTCGAACCCTTATCTCAGAGAAAATCTAGGAGAAAACTACAACTATTCTACAAAATTCACAATAATTTTCACACCAACATATCTCACCCCTCTACTGTCTCCTCTTGTCTCAGAAAATTAACAATACAAACTCCGTAATGCCGATGATTATTCTCTACCGAATTTCCGACTTCAACTTTCAAACGCATCCTTTTTCCATTCTACAATCCGACTTTGGAACCAATCAGACCTAGACATAAGACATAGAGTTTCACACACGGCGTTTAAGAATTCTCTCATAAATCTTCAAAATTTACAAGTTCCAAATTATTATCTGATTGGCGATAGAAAACTAAATATTTTACATACCAGATTAAGAAACAGAGCTAGTACCTTAAATAATGATTTATTCCATGTAAATTTAATAAATTTCCGACACTGTCCTCAAAGTGGTCATCCCGTTGAAGATACCCATCATTTCTTTTTTGCTTGTAACAAATATGTAGAACAAATAATGAGATTATATCGTGAACTGAATGATTTCATTCCTCTGGACCTGCAGCTTATACTTTTTGGTAGTTTGAAATTAAGCCAACAGGAAAATGAAATGATATTTCAACACACTCTACAATATACTCTATATATAGATTCACATAGATATTGATATATCTCTCCCCCCTCCCACACCCAACACAACCCACACCCTCCACTTTTCAACATAAATTGTACGTTCTTTGTATTAATTATCTATGTTGGTAATTAATTAGTGGACAATCATTTTTATCTTAAATGTTGAAGAGTTGTGTTTCTGATCTTCCCCGATACAAACGGCACTTGTGAAATGAAAATACCAGAAGGAATGGAATTTACAAGGAGAAGGCAACAGTGGCACGGGAAGTGATGAACATTAGAAAAGCAGAGTGTTTTGAATAGTGGACAGTGTTACTAGTGCCGTTTGTGTCCGAGAAGATCGCTACCACGATCTCACATTAGATATCTTCAAGTTGTGACTGCCCCCCCCCCCACCCCCCCTCTCTCTCTTTCTCTCTCTGTAACACTAAACTTAATTGAACATATTAATTAAATTAAATTTTCAATCCTGTATATATATAAATTATTATGTTATTGGGAAAAGGCTTCATATAAGTTGGACAACATGTGCCCAATCCCTTAAGTATATTAGTTGCCTCCTCCTCCTCCTCCTCCTCCTCCTCCTCCTCCTC